CAAGCCAGTCGCATGGTGTGGAAGTCAGTGTCTCCTGGAGCCACAGGGGAAGGCGACCGAAGAAACAGACTTGCTGCAGAAAGCACAGCCCCGGACCAGAGGCTCCACGTCATCGCCCAGACACTGGCACAAACCTCAGCTAAGCCTCATATAGCAGAACCATGCAGTAAAGCCCTTGCACTAAGGGCAAGAAACAGGGTTAGCCTCCAAGCAGACAACTGACCACACCTGAACCGGCGGCCAAAGGTTTGATCTCTGGTGTAGGACTAGAAGTCTCCACCTGCCCAGAAGGGATAGAGCGTTTAATTGGAGAGTGACCGATGCCTACAGAACTTGGCTAGAGAAGCCACTGGCCTCTACCCCTTAACTGGAGTAATAGCTGCCCATTTAGGGGCCTAACACTTGCAAATAACAGTCCCAGGTTACAGCCTTGTGTTGAGGAAACTGAGCTCTGAAGACGGCACAGCCAAGCTTATGCTAGCTGCAGCATCTACTGGCTTTGGAACTTGAACAAGTCACGGCTTCTAGTCCTCTTCCAAGGGCCAGAGCACAGCACAAAACCCAGACCTTGCTCAGAGGAAGTGCCGCTCAGTTTGAGGGGAGAGGCTGCCATTCCGGAGAAGGCCCCTGGAGATACAGACCAGAGGTCTAGCTCCTGTCATTCGGCCTCAGGTCTACGCTTCATGGTAGTCTCAGACAGTGGAAGCAGGGAGTTCTGTTCACGAGGTGCAGGGGAACAGTAGTCGTCCTAGAGGGGCAGCCCCCTGCCCCCAGGAGATGGGAGAGGTTGAAGGAAGCAGTGTAGGACACAGGCTTAGGTCTGGCCCCCAAGCCTCCTAGACAGAGCTGGCTAGCCACTACCAACAGCTAGAAAGATCAGATTACCAGGTTGATTAGGAAGAGATTGTTTGAACAGGAGTACAACTAGCAAGTGGGATACATTTCCCTCAACTGTTACAGCTAATCCAGGACCAGGTGATACTGTTTACCAGCTCTGCAAGACAGCCTCAAACGGCGAGTTCAGGCACAGGTTTCCACGATTTACAGATATTTGAAAGTCAGTGTAGTACTGGCTACAGGTGAGGAATCCGCCCGTTTGCCAAAAACCTACTTCCCTGACGGGCTGCTCAGTTACAAACGGTAATTTCAGGTAAGCCCAAACTCGCATGGGGTAGGAATTCACTTATTTCTCATCTTAGGATTTGTAATCCCGAGTTCAGGCTCGAGCCTTCCGTAGAGGCTCACACAGGCAAGGCATCTTGTCAGTCACAGGCATGGGTGACAGAGGCCCTAGGGCTTCTGGAATGACGGCCCAGCTCTGCAAGGGTCCTCCCTTCTAGGACAGCCCCAGGCCCTCCCCCAGATTCCAACAGGTGGGTGCCCTGTAGCTAGTTTTGCAAATTCACCACCACTCCCTCAGTTAATCAAACAGACCCTTGAACCAACCTAGACTGCCGAGAACATTGTAGATCAGAGCACAGCCAAAGACCTCACACCTTTGACCCACGGACACTGGCAGCCACTCCTTAGCAGGTCAAGACCACTAGGAAAGCTCACTGGCAGCCATGTGGGGGGAGGGGCTGCTCCCAGGACTTGGTGAGGCAGGCCGTCAGACAGTCCGGCTGGCTTTGGCAGAACTGATCCGCAGCCCATCTCTTCCGGGGTAAGCTATGTAAGGGGCCCCTGTATCACCTGAGGCCAATCAAGGGTTATAGAACTCGTAGTTGAGCTAGTTCACCTGAAGTTAACCTAACAGGCACATCAGGTGTTCTAATACTAGTTTATGCTCTGGAATCAAATCCAAGCTCAGGGGATGCTTCTGTTGCTCACTCCCTCACATGGGAGCTAAGTTATTCGGAGCTGGTGGGTCCTAGTAGTAAGGGTTAGGAAACAAACGCGCGCTGTTCTCCCATTCGCAGTGGGAGAAATAGAAGTTGATCCAGCACTCACAGTAATGAGTGTGGAACAGGTACCTGCCTGAAAGGTCTAGTCGGAGGAATTGGCCTTAACTCAGGGGGTCACAGATGGGCTGGGAACTGCAGGTGCAGCAGCCCCAAGGCACGTGTGGTCAAGGGGGCAGGAGAGCCATAGCGTCAAGGCTTCAAGGTTGCTCACTGGCTGCAGTGGAGTTCTGCAAACACATAGGGAAGCCAGGAGCTGCCCAGGTGAGGTCACGTAGCTCAAGGCAGGTGCTGTACGTGACACAGGCATTTAGAGTGACAGGATTTCAGGTGGGATTGAGTAGGTTTGCTGTGGTTTCTGAAGACACCCTGGAGCAGTCTGCAGTGGATCGAGGGGGAGGTGGGTGCGTTTGGTCTGTGGTTTGACCCGAGCATACGCCTCAGACATCAGCACAGATACCAGGAAGCACGTGACCGTTGCAGAAGTGGGGCCCATACGGGCAGCTGTGATCCATCAGGCTTTGTGCTACGTATGCGGCTATATATGCGGCTCCGCACTGAGTGAGCACCTTACAGGTGTGGTGGGGACCACAGAACCTAAGGAGTAGGCTGGATTCACAGCTGGCACCAGCCAGGGGCTGCAGAGCCGCTGCAGCCGAGACCCGGGCCAACAGGGCGCCCACAGCGAGGCACTAGATACCCCAGGCACCCTCCATTCCAGACCTGGAGAACTGCCTGACAAGCTCACACTGCCTCTAGACACCTACATCACTTTGTTAGGCAGTTACTCCAGCACTCCCCATCCACGTTTTTCTTAGCTTCTAACTTATAATTTCCTCTTGAGCTAAAAATAAGCCATGAATCCCAGCCTCCTGCCAGGGATTTGCGAACAGTTTGCCCACATTCGCTTTGTCTTGCTTTCAACAGTGTCACCTCCAACAAGCCTTCACACACAAAGGTCCCCGGCTCGCAGAGCACGAGCTGGTGTGTCAGCCTCCTACCACTACCATATAACAACCGGAGGTAGATGGAGCTGTAGCACTTGTACACCAGTCTAAGGTGGTCGGTGCAGCTAAGTGGTCTGCAAACGGGGGCTTGTCTCGTTTCTGCTGCAGGAATCTCAGCCTTTGTGAGACTTAACTTTGGGTCCTTCAGCTCACAAGGTGTTCACGTTCACCGTTTCTTGATCAAGGGTTGTAGGCAAGGAGTGGGCTCATTCACTTAAGCACCTACACATGTCAAGGCATCCAAGGGGAAGAGGGCAAACCAGCGACTGCGGGGGCGGGAAGGCCGCCGTCTAAGGCTGAGATTGGGCACTTAGATTAGCTAAGGCACCTGCAACACGTATCAGCACCTGCTTTCAATGCTCGGTTCCTAACTCCACCTTTTTGCTGATGCTGATCCTAGGAGGCAGAGGCGACAGCCCAGGTAACTCCCGCTGCCTGTGTGGGAGACCTCGACTAGGTCCCTAGCCCCCAGCTTTGGCCTAGCCCCGTCTTTTGGGGACACTTTGGGAATGGCTCAGCGGATAGGAGTCGTCTACCTCTGAGGACTTAAACTAAGGTGAAGAGGAGGCAACACTCCAAGTAGCTTGAGCACTGAAGTATCTCTGAAGGAGCTTTAGTCAGCTGGGTACATCCCAGCGAATCTAGGTCCAGGCAAAGAACCAGCACGCCAGGCTTCGGGGCAGGCGCACACCTGGGCACGCCTGCGAGGCAGAGGAACCCAGGGACAGGCAGAACAGCTTTTCCCTAGCAAGCCCAGGGCACAGGCTTTAGGGGAGCAGGCCCAGTTTACGAGGCTCACCGGCTCGTTTTTTGGAAAACAGACCAGAGGGGGAGGGGAGGCAGCCCTAGCCGGGAAGCTGACAGCAAACCCCCGTGATCTCAGGCGAGCGCGACCCAGCTCTGTGGTTAAGGACTGTGGAAGGTGGCAAGAGACTTCCCGGTCCGACAGAGCAGAGCAAACCCAGGGTGACCCGAGGCTGGGTTTGGGGACGTCTGAGCAGCTCCGGGTGCCTCACCCGCCTGCCGTCCCCTGCACCCACACCCCAGGAAAAGCCCGCACCCAGCCTACCGCCAAGCTGAGGCCCAGAGCGCCCACACCTCCCGCCCGCTCCCTCCACGAGGAAAACACCCCTGGCTGCCTCGGAGCCTACACCCCCTTCACCTAAGCGTCTTCAGTGAACACCCCTAAGGCTACTGCTTCCCTCCTCAGTCACGGTCGTGAAAAAAAAGCACCCTCTGGCCTAGAACCCGAACCGGGGCTCAGCCGAGCACATCCACCCGCCACGCCAACACCGGCGCCAAGGAGCCTAGGCGGCCCCGGCGGGCTCGGCCACCCCACAGCGGCTCAGCGGCACAGGCCCACGCAGCCCACCCGACCCAGCCCTCCGCCGCCAACCTCCCACTCCCGCTCCCAAGGCCATTCTGACGCCAGGGCCGCCGGCACCGCCTTTTCACGGGGCCGCGGAGCGGGTGCGCGACGTCACTTCCGGGGCGGGCCGGGCGGGGCCGGGGGCGGGGCGCGGCGTCCGCGCAGGCGCTCTGGAGCGGCGGCCGCCGAGCCGAGCGCTTGACTATATATGGTCAAAGCTGGGGGCGAGCCGCGCGCGCGGGGCCGCGCTTCCGGGTTCGGGGCGTCCGCGGCGGCCGCGCGCGAGGGCAGGAGCCAGCCGGCCTCGGAGCCCCGGCCTGGGACCGCCCCCTCCGCGCCCGGCACGCCCAGCGCCGCCTTCCGGCCGCTGTCCCCGGGCTCGGCCTCGGCGAGGTGTGCTTGGCGACGCGGGCCGGCGCCGGAGGCTCTCGGCTAGCGCGGCGCGGTAACAAGTGGGCGAGGATGCCGTACGAAATCGTAAGTGGAGGAGGGCCCCGGGATCCTCAGGGTAGGGGGTCTTGAAGAACATGAGGGTTTTTTGGCATCCTGGGATGTTGGCTGGAGCCTGACCTGGGGTTGTTTACGGTGGTGCCATGTGTTGGATTTTGGGGAGGCGGGAGGAAGTGGCGGCCGCCCCTCCCGGAGGCGGCAACAGGTGACCGACCGAGACCGGTCCGCTGCCCGCTGCCCGCTGCGAGCCTCCGAGCAGGGGGCGGCCGCTAACGAGCCGCGTTTGTCTCCGCAGAGAAAGTGTTCGCCAGCCTCCCGCAGGTGGAGAGGGGCGTCTCCAAAATCCTCGGGGGCGACCCTAAGGGCGACAATTTTCTGTACACCAACGGCAAGTGCGTCATCCTGAGGAACATCGACGTGAGTGCCCTCCCCACCCCCACCCCCACCGGCGCCCGCCCCCAGCGCCGGGCTCCCTCCGGAATGGGGTCTCCCTCCCCGCGCACCCCGCGCCCTGGGGAGGTGCGGACGCCACGCCCCTCGGCCCTGGAGCCGCGCTCAGGAGCCCCGGAATTGGGTTTAAGTTCTCAATCGCAGTGGGGAAACTGAGGCAGGGGTTCCGGGTTTGGGGGGAGGGGTCGGACAGACCCGGCAGCTGCTGCTGGCTGTGGCCTGGGCCTCTGGGGCCGCCGACTTCTCCTCCGTGGAGGGAGGTGATGAGGCGATGATCCCCACTTCCCCCCGGCGACTGAAGGAGCCCCCGGCCTGCCCGGGCCCTCGCGGCGCCTGGCACAGGCCGCCGAGCGCTTGGTAAATGCCGCTGCCGCCCCGGGGTCTCCCCAGTGTGGCCGAGCCCAGGCTGACGCCCAGTGCTGACTCCAGCCTGGTCAGACACTGTGGATCGGAGCCCCAGAGGGAACACAGGAACCAGTTTATCCCGGTGAATCATTCTCTGCGGGCACCCGCCCCCAGGCTACCACTGCTTCCAGAGCCAGCTCCTCGGGAAGCCCTGCGAGTGTGTGTGTTTCCTCTGCGATGCTCTGAACGACCCAGTCTGTTTTCCCACTTCCCCCACTAAGGGCATCGCACACTCCAGCCTTGCCTCTCCCTTCCTGGGCCTGAGGGGTGGATGCAGGCGGCGCAGCACGGCCATTCCAGGGGTTTCTGCCGGGTGTGGGGTTGGTGCAGAAGTGGGCAGCCTGTTGGGCCCACAGGGTCGCCGGCTCCGGTCAGACATGCTGGGCCTCTGGGAGCTCACAGGTGATGGCAGGAATGAAGGGCTCTGTGCACCTCCCTGTTCCTTGCCTGGAGGTGCAGGGCCCCTGCGTGGTCAGAGGCACTGCTGGCCTGCCCATCCCCCTGCTGGAGCGCCGGTGTTTTCTTCGCCGCCCAGGGTGCTGGGCACTTTGGGTGAGGGGTGGGTGTGAGTGCTCTGAAGGTGCTAACAACTTGCTGGCCGGGCAGATTCCTGGAAAGCCGATCCAGCCGGCCTTACAGCTGGGGAGTCATCACCAAGGACTGAACCGGGACGATAGGGAAGTCTCTGGAGTGAGGTCTTGAGATGCTGAGAAAGTAATAATGCGATGGCCCTGGGAGGTAGTCACTTAGCAGATTAGTGAAGATACGGAAGCATTCCAAGCGTTCCGAAGTCGCAGGATGTGGTTTCGTCTCTGACAAGGCCTACCCATGTCATCGCAGTCTGCGGCCGCTCCCAGGTAGACGTCCCGCAAGGTAGTGCTGGGAGTCTGGGGCTAAGTCAGCAGCGTGGGCCCAGCCCGGGAAGGAGGCCGATGGCGGGGGCTGCCTCTGCGGAGAAGCTGTGGCCCCTCTGCAGGAGGCCACTCGGACGTGGGAAACCCGTTCTGCCTGCTCCTCCTGAGCTGTTGCCCGGAGCCTTCCTGTGAGGTTTGCCGCCCTTCCTGGCCTTCCCACGGGGCAGTTTGCAGGGTGCCAGGGCGGCAGGGGATGCTGCTCGTCTGTCTCCCCCCGCGCCAGGTGTGACGCCAGGCACTTAGTCCTCAGTGGTGGGTACAGTTTTTATGAGCCCAGTGTTCCTGGAAAACAGGAGACATGAGCGTGAACAGTCAGTGTATGGAAGGAAGGCGGTGTGGTTGGACACTGGCTGGGGAAGAAGGGAGGATGAGACCAGACGCCTACAGCACCTTAACGGTAGCATACCCTGAGCTGCTTGGGGTTTCCCAGGTGCCCTTCCCCCTAAAGGGAAACCCCCTCACTCCACCATTCAGGCCCGGGGCCTTGGGCTTATCTGCTGTGCCTCATTCATTCTGCTGAAGCATTCAAGTGTCTGACAGATTTCTCAGTCCTCCTCTGCCTCCACCCCCATCTGAGCTACTGCTGTCTCCCCCACCTGGATTGTTGCCCAAAACCAGGAAACAGTCGCACGCACTCCCTGCTTTTATCGCTGTTGCCCTGGGTGTGATCTGAGCAGCAGCTGGTGTGGTTGTGTTCAGATGCGTCCTTGGCCCCGCAGCCTCCCACTTTGCAGAAAACCTGACCTCGCTGCCTCCCCAGGCCGGGGCACCCGGCTTCGTCTCAGGACCTGCATTTCCATTGCCTTTGCCGGGGTGTTCTTTCCTCAGATGCCTGCAAAGCCGCTCCCCAGCCTGCAGGTGTCTGCTTAGGAGTCCCTTAGCAGAGGGGTCTCCCTTAAATAGCGTCTCCCTCCCTGGCCTTCCCTATCCCTTTGCCCTAACAGTAACTAGGAAGCCAGCTGCAAGCAGACCTACAGATGGGCACACTCTGCCCCCGTACCTGCTGTGTCCTCGTGCCTGAGAGAGGGCCTGGCACACAGGAAGTGCTTGGTGAGTTACTGGTTGGTTGGAAGACCTTGGAAGCGCTCTGTTCATGGAGGTGATAGGCAGTCACTGAGGTGGTGCTGCAGGAGAATCAGCAAGGCTTGGTCTTGTTGAGGTTGGTGGAGTCCACCCTCGAGACGTGGCTGGAGAGCACTCTTGCTGACACCCACACGATCGTGGTGACTGGCACTCGTTTTGCAAACCCAGCACAATGGCGCTTCCTGAACCTGTTGGAAGAGAGTGCTGCTTACCTGTTTCAGCTCATCCCTTTCCGCACCTCGGAGAGGAAACTGCACCGTTAAAGGGTGTGATGCTGCCAGCCGTCGGGAAGCTGACGAGACCTCAGTGGACAGCATGGACGCCATGCGTAGGAGGAGTTGCCCGCCGAGGAGGGGTAGTCGGTGACTCCGGGGGCTGAGGAATACTTCCAGGCGCTGGGGCCTGGGTGGCTCCTCTGCGTTGAGTTGTCCTGTGGGCACAGCAACGCCTGATCCCATCTGGCATCTGTGAACAGAGTGTCACTCCCAGTGGCTGGGAAGGAACCTGCTTGATTCCAAACTCCCAGGATCCTTTCCCTGGAGAGGCCTCCGGTGTGCTACCAGAAGCAGCCAGCCAATCTGCTGTGTGAGCGGGTTTTTAAACGTCCCACTCCGGGATGCCAGCATTGCAGTGTGCAGTGGGGGATTTCATGGGGTTAAGTAGAAATGTGTTGCTTATCACAGTGCAGTGTTGGTAGCCTTTGCTGGTAACAGAGTGGAGGCTACTTTGGCGGCTGGAGGTTAGCTGGTGTCATGTGCAGAAGGAGCCCTGTATGTCCCTGCAGATTCGGGGGATGGGACAAGGTTTGCAGGCTGACCTAGGTCCTCTCTCCAGTTGCTGGCTCCCTCTGTATCCGCACAGCCACCATCCTGAGGGACAGGATGGTGGGCCCTGCGCTTGGAGCTTGCTGCCTCAGGAGGAAGTGAAATGAGACTGCTCCGATGGAAGTAAGCTGACAGCAAATGAGAGATCTGTAGCTTGGAGCCTCAGGCCTTCAGGCTGGCCCCCCTGAGGGAGGAAGCAGAGGGTGCCGTGTAACCCTCATCTCGGGAGACTCAGAGCCAGATCAGAGAGGGATCAGCAGGTGCCATTTGGGAAGATGGAATGGTGCTAGGGCCCTGCAGGACACTGCATCTGGGCCATGGCCACAGCACTAGGGGCAAATGGAGTGGACAGATTGAGACAGGAGGTATCTGGGCACCTAGTGCTGCTGGGTGGTTTGGGTGACCCTGCAGTGGCCTGGCTCGATTCCAGGGGCCCCTAGAACCGCGAAAAGGTCAGACAAGTCCACTCAAACCTGTAACAGTCCTGCACCTGAAGCTGCTTGAGGATTAACGCGTCCCTTGGCTGGCACTGCCCTCCCCAGGTTTCAGTGTTTTGGTTGTACCTGCACCAAACCCCCATCTCGCTGAGCCACACCCATAGGCCAGAGGAACAAGACTGACCTCCGTGGTTCTCAGGGAGGGGCCCCTGAGGGAGGTTTGGTGGTATTTGGAGACGTTTCTGTGCTGCTGTGGCCTAACAGGTAGAAGCTGGGGATGTTGCTAAGCTACCTGCAAGCCCCAGCACCATCCTACAGTGAAGGTTATCCAGCCCATAATGCAGGAGTGCCAAGGTTGAGAACCTGTGGGAGTGGCCTGGAGCTTCAAGAGAAGGCTGTGCTGCCCATTGTGGGAGTGGGAGGGGAGAGCTGAGTGCTGCAGAGTCGCAAGGGTGGCCGCCTGGAGACCCCACTTTTGAGTTGAGCCTTGGAGGATGAGTAAGTCTCCAGGAAGAGGGTTTAGACATGGAAACAGCCCATGCAGGAGACCGCCCCACCCTGTGTGGGCTCCTGGGGGGTAGCTTTGATCCATCTCTTTGTAGGGGGAGGGGTGTGGAAACCGTCTTGGAGGTAAAAGGTGCAGGCTTGTGCGGCGAGGTGCAGGCAGCAGCCGACCGTCCTGCCAGCAGCCGGGCTGGAGAAGATGCTCACCCCAAGACCCTAGGAAGGTGGCTGCTGCCTGCTGCGGGGCCCCGTGGGGTGGCTGTAGTTACTGGAGTTGGCAGGGCCTTTGTGGCTGTCACCTCTGCCCTCAGAGAAAGGCCACCATCCTCCGTAGTCAGCTCTTTGCAGGAGCACCGGTTCCCATCCGGCTCAGGGCTTCGAGGGTCCCTGGTCTTAGAGCACATCATGTGCACGTCTGTAAGAATGGGGAGCATATCTGGGGATGGTAGTGTGAGATTCAGCCCAGTTAACTACAAGGCATCCTTAGAAGATTGCCAGGGCCATGACCCACACCCCCTGCACGCCATGGCCACCTGTTGATTGAATACCCTCGGAGGTACTGCATGTGAGCCTTGGGACAACTCAGGCCTGAGGTGGAGACCCTGGGTGGGTAGGGGGAGTGAGGGACAGAAGGGAGATGGCAGTATCCAGATGACACTCCCATGAGGGCTGTTGCCAAGCCTGTCACAGGGTGAGACCTCTGGAGCTCCTGATCCAAGTCATGTCAATGAGTAGGGGGAGTCACTGGGGTGCGGCAGGCCCCCAGCTGAGTGACCAGGCTCCACGTGATCCTGCCAAAGACTGTGGGCCAGTGCAGACTTTGATTCCCTGAGTGGAGGCGTCAGATTAGCATGGGGCCCACACCAGTGAGAACAGAATCAGAGGAGTTGTCCCGAGTTGAGGTCCCAGCAGCGTGGCTCAGGATGCACTGCCCTCCCTCTGTCTCTGCCTTCGGGTCTCCACCTGTGAAGTGGCTATAAGGTGACCTTCCTTACAGAGAGCCGTGCCACCCAGTGCCTCTCTGTTGAGAATAGTCAGACTCCCATAAACGGCTCCCAGGGGCAGCCTTGTCCTGAACTTTGCGGGGACTTGGAGCTACATTGTGGTGAATCAAACGGGGCCCTTGCCCTACGTGGGATCCCCTTATGAAGAAGGGGGGCGGGGCAGAGATGACAGGCGGTGCAAGGTGGAAAGCAGTAAGGGCTGGAGGGTGGGGTTAGCTAGGAGAGATCACTCACTGCCTGAAGCAGTGGGAAAGGCTCTTAGAGGACGGACGGTCCCTGGGGATGGGGAAGGAGTGGCAGATGAGGAGAGGTGTGGAGTGGTTTGCGGGAGGGGCAGGGCACAATGGGAAGGAAGTACACTTGTGCAGAGAGCTTGGGGCTCCGTGTGCTGGGCCTGGCTGCCGCTCTGAGTGGGGATCCACGGGAGAGTGCTCTGGGCAGGGCGTGCTCACTGTCTGTCTGCATCCTGAGTTCATGGGCCTTGGGCTGCTTCCTATCTTGGTGGCTGCCACCTTGTACCCACGGCTGCAGAGTGGGTGCCGGCAGGTCTTGGAAGGAAGGCGTACATGGTGCCTTGGGCATCGGCAGTCTTTAGAGGCAGTGTGCTTGGGAGCTGGGTGTGAACTCTGGTCTAGACGCCCAGAACTGTTTTGCTGCTTTGGAGCTGGGCTTCTTTGCATAATTGGGTTTGGCCTTGGTCACCAGGGAACAGAGGGCCCCTGCACACTGCATTTGGCTCCCAGGCCTGGCCACTTGAGGTCCTGAGCCCAGCTCTGTTACTCCCAAGCACTTGGACACCAGTACCCTGCCTGGATGCTCATGCCCACCTTGCGCAGGTTTCCCTGTGGGCTCCAGGGACCCTCGGCATGTAAAGAGGCGCACAGGAGGCCCCTTCGCTTGGGAGGCCTCCTCCACCTTCTAGCACGTTTCCTCCAGTGCACTGTGGGCCATCACAGCCTGCTGTGAATCCTTGTAGAGACCTGACCTCACTCACACCTGAGGTGAGAGGACAGGATGTGAGGGAACTGTGAGGAGCTTCGGATGTGGGGACCCCTCGCCTAGCCCCGTGGGCATGAGCTTAGAGCAGGTCTCACGGGCACCACAGAAGTGAAGGTCTTGCAGTCTGCTCAGGTTCCTGTGTTCAGGCTTCCCAGGAAAGGAGAGGGGATGTTGTTGCTGGGCGGGGCGCCCCAGCCGCAGGTGGCGGTGTAGGGGTGGTGTCTTCTGGGCATGGCAGGAAAGCCCTGAGCAGAACAGGCCTCCTGCTTCACTTGCCACTGCCAGGCAGGCCTTGCGCCCTGTGACCAGGCCGGAGCAGTCCTGCTGCCTCCTGCTGCCATCTCTGTTCCACAGAGCCACCTGGTTCCCTGGACTCTGTGCCAGTGTCACTGCTGGGGCCCTTGAGCCCTGTCGTCCTTCATGTCACCTCTGCCGAGGTGACAGTAGCATTCTGGGGCTCTCCCAGGGCTCTCCCCGGCCCTTGGCTGTGGCCCTGGTGGGAGCACTGGGGAAGCCATTGGAGCCAAAGCAAGAAAGGGGGTGGCTTTCGCTCCGAGGTGAGACTGGCAGTCAGTGGGCCCACGCCTGGGTGGGTGACTTAGGTGGATAGGTTGAGGACAGTCTGGCTCAGGGAGAAGGAACACTGGGCCAGGCTCAGTGGGCTGGAGCCCCAGGGTCCTGTTTGTAGTGGGCAGCAGGGTCAGGTCCTGCAGTTCCCAAAGGGAATGAGGACGGACTTCTAGCTGGGGAATGAGAGCATGAGTCTGGATTTAGAGGTGGAGATGGGTTAAAAAGTGATTGAAGTGCTGGGTTGGAAATGGGGGGAGGGGGCTCTGATGAAGAAGACTGGCAGGTCTCGGGTAGGGACCAGGAGGCCTGCCTGCTGGAGGTCCCATACTGTCTCGGTGTGCCCAGGCTTCCTCCTGTTTTCTGCCCAAAGTTGTCTTCTGACTGCAAAACCTGGCTCAGCCTGGGAGGAGGGGCACCCCAGCTTACGCACCTGCGGCCAACCTGGACAGGTCCCCTTGCCCTGGAGGAGTGCCCTTGGAAGTGGCTTCCCTTGCCAGCTCCAGCCCAGAACACGTCCCCAGATAAGCTGCTCCTCCCAGTCCTAGTCTCCCTCCCCAAAACACCAAGAGGGGAGGACACCCTCTGGGGTATGCAGTGAGGGTGCTGACGCAGCTGGTGTGCATTGAGCCTCAGGTGCACAGTGACACCGTGGGGCCTGGGGTGGGAGGGATCTGCTCTTTCCCGCTCCAGCAAGGGCCTCCCCCTGGGAGCTGAGTGAGGAGGAGGCTGCTTGACTCAGATCTAAGTCATTATCTGCAATTTGGAGTCTCTCACCCCCACGCTGACCCAGTTGTATTTAGAATACAAACGAGAGTGATTCATGCAGCTCAGTGTAGGATTCTGCTGCCCTTTGGGTGTTCTACACACCCTGCTGCAGGCTGTGACCATGTAGGGGAAGGAATCTTCCAGGGCAGAACTTCCTGTCGTGGCCCCTGCCTGGTCACTCCATCCATCAGATACCCTGGCCCATGACCTTGCTCCCTGGGGAGGAGGTCAGGAGAGTTAACCCCTTGTGGAGGGCTCTGTTGGCCATGAAGTGTGCGTGTGAGACCCTTGGTCAGCTGTGAGTGGACCCTGGATGTTTGCATTGGACAGACTGGTCTGAGCAGAAGAATTGGATCAGGCGGACATTTAAAATCTAGCCGGCATCTGAGTGCTGTTGAGGTGTAATTAGGATACAACAAGGCTCATCAGTGTTGAGTGCACACCTTGAATGTTAGCAGCCAGTTCTGCATCCACCATGCACCACGCAGCGGCCACGTGGTCCTCCTGCAGCCCAGCCTCTGGCAGCTCGTGCTCGCCTTTCTGCTTGCCTTCCCTAGAACTGACCCCCACCCCCACCCCCACCCAGTCTGTTCAGCCTGCCATCTTTTGGCGGTAGTGCTGCGAGGGAGTTTGCAGTTTGTCCCTTCTTGTCGCTGAGTGTTCTTGTGTTGGCAGATCCACCACGACCTGTTCCTCTGTCTGCCTTCTGATGGGCGCTGGGGGTGCTCCCAGTTTGGGGCTGTTATGAATAGCTGAGTCATGGTTCACATCTCTTTTGGGGACAGAGGCTTCCGTGTCGCTTGCCTAGGTACATTTGGCGCGTGATAAGTGTTAGGTTTAATCTCGTAAATGGCCTACCATTTTGCATTTCCACCAGCAGTATGTGCAGCCCAGCATCCTCCCCCTCCTTGCCAGCAGCTGGTGACCTTGGTCTTCTAACCTGGTTGATCATGGTGGGAGTGTGGTGGGCTCTCACCATAGCTGGGGTTTGCATTTGCCCAAAGACTAATGGCACTCGTCACCTTTTCTGGGCTTACTTGCTGTTCTTGACATGCTCTTTGGTTACTTGGTATCTTTATACCTTCATTAGTGAATGTTTGTTCCAAAAAGGACTAATTTATGAGTCATATACCCCTGGGTACTTAAGAAAGCTCATGGAAAAATGGAATTGAAAGGCAAGTGTATTTTGAGGCCAAAATGCTTTTTTGAAATCCATGCAACTTTTTTCATAATGCACATGAATTTTCCCATGAACTTGCTGAAAGTGTGAAGTGTACTGTTGGCTGCATCCCATGTGCTCTCTGCTGGACCTGAAGGGAGGACTGTGTACACCCTTTTCTCCCCAGAACCATTTTCTGAGCACGTGTCGTTTGCTGAGTGCTGTCATAGGGTAGGTGAGGAGACAGGTGCCGTATTAAGCAGGTCATTAGAAAGTTGGAGGAGACTGGTAGGAGCCTTGGGGACCACCGTGTGTGCCCTGACTGCCTTGGAGGTGCAGCGGGTGCTGTAGAAGCACAGAAGAGGGCTTCCTTGAAGAGCAGCACTTGGTTGGGCCTGAGAGACACCTGGGTAACCCCAGGCAAGGGAGTGGGCACCGAGTGGCGTGTGTGGCTGGGCCGGGTCTGGGTGCTGCTCTGCTCTCAGTTCCAAGAGGGAGACACGGCATTCTTTGGCCAGCAGGCTGAGCAGAGCGGCTCCTGGGATGTTGTTGAGGGGTGTAAGGGAGGCAGGAACAGCTTGAGGTGGCCATGGGCGAGGTCAGCAATGCCTGAGCAGCCGCATGGGCATCGGGTGTGTTGTCAGCCTCAGCCCTGGGCAAACTCTGCCTCTTTTCCAAAGCGCAGTTGATTCCTGGGAAGCTGACAGTAGGAATCAGGAGATTAGGGAGAGCTCAGCTGTGGATCACTTGATGGTGTGTTGGGGGGAGGGAGGCAAGGGAGGGATCATGATCTGCTTGCAGGAAATCATGTGTTAGAAACACAGCGCTAGGGCCATTAAGATACCACTGGAGACACCTGTGTTCCATGTCAGCGTCTCTGAGTGTGCATCCAGACTGCTTCCAATCCAGTTTCCTGCAAATGTGAAGGCGTGGATGGAGTTTCAGACTCCTGGAAGTTAAACTTTTGTTGTAAGGATATATGTTTATTGTGTATTGTGGAAAGTACAGAAAAGCAGACAAGGGGGAAATTTGCCTTGAAATTTATAATTACAAACTAAATAAAAAGTTAAAATTGCCTGGAATTCCTACCACCCAAAGATAGGCAGGCATAGGTGTGGGGCAGCAGGCTTCTGTGTGAAGGTTTTCAGTGTGTGTGTGTGTGTGCACCCCCTCCCCAACCCACCATCTGTTAACTGGGAGAGCCACGGGCAGTCTGGCTCCGTCTGCACTCTGCTCACCCTGTGCTCTCCTCCCTGCAGAACCCAGCCATTGCTGACATCTACACTGAGCATGCCCATCAAGTGGTGGTGGCCAAGTACGCACCCAGCGGATTCTACATCGCTTCCGGAGGTACTGTGTGAGCATGGCCCCTGTGCACGTGTCGGGTGTTGTGTGGCCCAGGGACACCGAGGTTGTAGGCCAAGTGGGCTCCTGGCTTGAGAGGAAGCAGGAAGAGGGACTGAGGAGGGTGAGGTGGGGAAGGAAAGGTAGGGAGTGGAGGTCAGTTGAAAGGAAACAAATGTAGCTAACAAGGAATGAATAATAGCAAAATGTCCCTTTCCAGAGTTGGCCTTCATTCTAGAAAATGCACTTTGTTTACCATATTCCAGTAGGTTCCAGCTCAGCGATCAGAAGGGTGAGGTCGGCCAGAGGCCTCTGATGAGGGCCGTATTGTGAAGCACTTGGGCTCATTTATGTGCATGTGTGCACTGTGGCTTTGTTGTGTGCCTTCCTTGCCCACTGCTCCTCTCCCAGTACCTAACCTAACAAGAGGCTTCCCTTTAAAGAGCCGGCTTTGTTTGAACCTGGACTGTGCTTTTGTCTCTGGCCCCAACTCTGTGTGGCCCGGCAGGAGGGGCCTGAGGATCTGCTTTGTTCACTTTGTTCTGTGAGGTGGAGGCTTGGGCCACTTGTACAGGAGAAGGAGGCAGGCTTCAGAGTGGTTGCCTTCTGCTCATTCAGGGATAGCCAGGTGCATGGGGCAGGCGATGGCTCATCAGAGTGTCCGACGGTAAGGGCTGCAGCCAACAGCTAGCAGGGGACAGCTGTGTGCTGTAGCCACTTTATCTGCACTGCCCTTGCAGCCGGCGTGCCCCAGTTACAGTGAGGGGCTGGGCCAGGAGTCTGGCACATAGTAGGCTCGTAATGGCTTTTGGCTTAGAGCTGCTCTCACTCCATCTGTATAACTTGCTGTAATTTATGCCTTGATTTATGTCAGCTCTGGGATTGCTCCCACCCCACCCTACTTGCCAGCTAAATGTCTCTTCATTTAAGCCCCAAGATTTGGCCCAGGTGTCTTAAAATTGTTGCACACACAGCCAGGCACTCTGAGGAGTGTCTTGGGAAGCGAGTGTGATTAGTGAAAGCCTCAGCTCTGCCTCCACCTCCCCCTGGCCCAGCTCCCTGCAGGCTGAGAGCCGCCCTCCCCTTCCAGAGGAGCGTGCAGTGAGCCAGGAGCCGATGGCCTCGGGTGCGGACACCAAAGCTGTACCCGAGGCTGTCGCAAAGGATGGTCCCTGAGGATACAGGTCATCCGTTCCAGGTTCCCCTTTCCTCCACGCACCCTGACGTGGCGGAGGAACCGAGGGTGCTCGCTCGCTCGCAGGTGGAGAGCCATTCATTTCTTTGAGTAGCCACTGTGATTGTTAAGGGTTACAATGGAACACTTGTGCAGAGATGAGGGCCTTGGGCTAAGAATAGCGTGGGGTGTGGAGTGAGCGGGGCTGGCACTCAGACAGGGCTGTGCTGGCTCACAAGTGGGTTACCTGGTCCCTGGTGTGCCTGGCTGGGTGAGGGGTCCCAGGACCCTGGGAAGCCTGCTGTGCAGTACTCCCAGGTGAGCCTCAGCCTCTGTGGGATCTTAAATCCCAGTCTTACGGCCTGCCAGGGGAGGGCTACTCACACCAGCTGGGGCTTGGAGCACCCGATCCCCAGGCACAACTAAATGGAACAGTGAGGTCCAGCAGAGGAGGCGGGAGGTCTCGATGGGGGAGGCAGCGGGAAATGACTGGGTGCTGGGCCTGCGGTGGAGCCCGAGGGCTGGGGCCGCTGGGCCTTGGCCCAGATAGCATGGCCTTCTCTATAGGGCAGCTTGGGCATGGCAGGCCACATGGCTGACGTGTGGCTTCAGGTGTGTGTTCTTCATGCACGTGTGGCTCCTCCTGGCACTGCCAGCCCATGTTTACTCCTGCAGGGAAAGAGACACTGTGGAAAGCTGAACAGCCTCATCATGGGCTGGAGTCTCGCCCTCCAGTGTGCCTGCACTTCATGCCTAAGCGGGGTTTGTTTATCCTGGTGGTTGCTGGAGAATCCAGAGCCCCCAGGAGCAGCCTGCATGGAGACAGGAGGCTGAGAACTAGACCTAGAGGTGGTTCCTCCCCTGCAGAAAGCAGTGGGCTGTGGCCAGGCTTGGCCAGCCCAGGAGTGATGGTTTCCTTGCCCCTGGTGTGTTCACAGATGTGTCTGGGAAGCTGAGGATCTGGGACACCACGCAGAGGGAACACCTCTTGAAGTATGAGTACCAGCCTTTCGCTGGGAAGATCAAGGACGTTGCGTGGACGGAAGACAGTAAGAGGATTGCTGTGGTCGGCGAAGGAAGGGAGAAGTGAGTCACTCGCCTGGCCCGGCCCTGCCCCGTTCTGCGGCCTGTGCTCTGGTGTGCCCCTGGTGGGGTGGCGCACAGTGAGCTCCTTGCCAGCTTGGACTAGTACAAGCTGAAGCCCTCTACCTCCTTCACGACGGTGTGACTCCCCAGGCTCCTGGCCCCCTCCAGGCTCCTCGTCGGGCCGGCCCCTTCTCTCTCTCCTTTGACATCCTTGGCCCTTGTGCTAGCCCTCCAGCTTGTCATGCCCTCGTGGCAGGCAGCAGGAGGGGGCCAGGGGGGAGGTAGCTCTTTTGTTGGAAGTCCCCATCAGAAGGTACCGCACAAGCACAGGGAGGAGAGCGGATGCCTGTTGCTCCCAGCTGAGCACTCCCTGAGACCCTGGCCACCGAGCGGGCGGGGGTACATGGAGATGGCTCGCATCACTTGGTGGCTGCTGCCCTCTGGCTCCGGTGACCCGCAAGGGGCAGTGTTGGAACCCGGGTTCTTGTTCCTGGAGCAGTCAGGGTTCCCTCCCCACGCCATGGCTGCCTACAGGCACCTGAGCTTGACAGCCCTTTCAGACAGCTTTCTGTCCCTTGCTCAGTTGCCCTGTTGTTGGGCTCATCAGTAACTAAGGCAGTGCACGAGAACGCCAGCGCAGAGCAGCAGTCTCCTTTCCTCCAGGGTAGGGCGGGGTGGTCGGCCCACAGGCCACGGAAGGGCTGACTCCACCAAGGCAGCTGCGCCTGGGACAGGCTAACCTCTAGTTACGATTTTATGTGACCCATAGTGATGGTACATCCAGATGACTCAGCAGAATAGCGGTTCCCCACCTCTGCTCTAGGGGATGGTGCCTGGCCTGTTTCCTGGTCCCTCCCAACACCAGTCAATACCAGGAGAGCAAGGAGGCCACAGCGATGCTGTCCCCCCCACCCCCAGGAGGTGCTTTTTTTCTGTTTGTAAGGTTTTATTTATTTGAAAGGCAGAGTTAGGAGAGAGAGACAAGATCCTCAGTCTGCTGATACACTCCCCCCGTGGCTGCAGTGGCTGGAGTTGAGCCAGGCTAAAGCCAGGAGCCTCTTCCAGGTCTCCCATGTGGGTGGCAGAGGCCCAAGGAATTGGGCCATTCTCTGCTGCTTTCCCACTGCATTAGCAGAGAGCTAGATCAGAAGTGGAGCGGCTGGGGCTTGCACTGGCACCCATATGGGATGCAGGTGCTGCAGGCCATGGCTTAAGCTGCTACGCCACACCGCCCAGAGCAGGTGCTTCCTGAGGCCCCACCTAGGTGGGAGGGGCTTTGCACTGGGTCCTACAGGCTTCCCAGCAGCACCCGGGTTGCTCCTGCTTTGTTGCTGGACCCTTGTTGATCCAGCATCATGGTACCTCCAGTGTATGCAGGTTCTGTACTGCACACTCAGGAGCTCAAGGCAGGCTGCACCAACACCCCTTCCATCCTTTTTCAGCTTGCGGCTCAGCTGTCAGATTCCCCTCAGCCTTCTGGGATTGATGTGTTTTCTCTCTGATCCCTCTTGTTGGGTGAAGGTTTGGAGCCGTCTTCCTGTGGGACAGTGGCTCTTCCGTGGGTGAGATCACAGGACACAACAAAGTCATCAACAGTGTGGACATCAGACAGAGCAGGCCGTACCGGCTGGCAACAGGGAGCGACGATAACTGCGCCGCCTTCTTTGAGGGGCCACCATTCAAGTTCAAGTTTACAATTGGCGTAAGTGCACTTCCCCTTAGGGGGTTTGGGTGAACTCTGTGGTCCAAGCCCGGGGCAGTTCAGGCCTGTTGTAGATGCTGATGGCGGGAGGGTCACGATGTGAGTCGTGAATGCCATGATACAGACAGGAAGTCTGTGGGAGAAATGTCATGTGTACAGGCAAGACCCCACTGTGCCCAGCCATCCTAAGCCCAGGTCCTAGGCTGGGCACGGTGGTTCCAGCAGGAGGACCCCACCTCGGTACCATGTGCCTGTTACCTGGGGTGGGAGCGGTGTCCTGGACTGTGGTGCCTGTTAGAAGGGGCTCCAAGGGCCGAGGAAATGAGCTCCAGGACATCAGAAGAGTCTCATGGGGCTCTCCTGCTCCCTGAGGGAGTATAAAACCCCAAGGCCCTTTGCGGAGGAGACAGCCCAGTGCCTGGTGCAGTGCCACAGGCTTGAGCATCAGCAGCAGGTCTCTCGGTTGCTCTGCCCTTGCTCCCTGACTTGGCCTGGTGCCCAGGCCTCTCTCAGCCTCATTTTTCCCATCTGCCGGTTGAGGCAGGTGGGGGCCTCGGCACCCCAGGAGCTTAGCTGTGAATTTGAACTGCGAACACTGCCCCGAGGTCCAGAGTGGCCGTGATGCTCATCACCATGCCCTGGGTTGCACCCCAAAGGTCTGGCTGGAACGAGGGTGGGTGACAGAGGAAGCCTGGGCAGTTCTGCACCTGTGCTGGCGTTCTCAGTGAGGCCAGTGAACAGACAGGAAGAGGCAGCCAGCTCTCGCACTGGTGATGAGGAGGAAAACACGGCGTGGCCCTGCTCTGCAGCGTGTGTGCGTTCTGTGTGGGGACTATTTGTGTCCTGGGGAGGGGTGGCTGAGTTTGGGAGTTGGGTGGAGGTCTCAGGACGCCCTGTCCTTCAGAACACCCAGTGTCCATGCTTCATGGACTATTGTGTGAGGCGATGTCCTCAGAGCAGCTCCAGCTCGGCCTAGTGAGCACGAACAGTGGGCAGAGCATCGCCCAGAAGGGCCAGGCCAGGGCGCCGCCATGGCTGGGGTTTCCAGGGGGGTACACAGGGCTCTCCAAGGTTCCCCCTGTGCAGTGACCGGCCTGCGCAGGGCCCGGCTGGCCGAGTGGGAGGTGAAATGAGGTGTTCTGCAGAGCCTACATCTCAGAGGCCCTTCCGAACACCGCAACTTATCCTGCCTGCTGCCGGACTGCCTAATTGCCAGGTAGTGGTGACTCGGCTATTTTGGGAGTTTTGTTGAAGGCTGTGGTTCAGAATCAATATTCTTAAGTGGAGGTGGAGGTCCTGTGTAACATAGGATGAGTAATGCTGGCTCAGTTAGACACCTGATCCGACCCGGCGAGGAAGAAGGGGAGAGTTCCGCGGCAGTCAGAGCCGTGCTTGACTGTTCCTGTGACACTCTCCCTACCCTACCCCCCACTCCGTTCTGTTTTGTCTCTGTGCACCTTAATCTGGGCTGTTGCATGGGTGGGGGCCCCATTCTCTGCCCTGAGATGTGCTGAAGCACGGGACAGAGCTGCTGAACGGTGTGCAGGTCGAGCTAGGGTTTGAGTTCCGCTGGCTGAGTCGAGCCTGCACCCTTCACTTCCTACCCCCGTGTATTCTCACACCTGCCTTGGCCACAGTGTCTTCTCTTTCAATTTCCTTCCTAACCTCAGAACAGCGTCGTTACCCCATAGCCCCAGCCGTGCAGTATCTGGTAGAAACATCTCCCTGGCGGCCCTGGCTCCAGGGTGGGCACCACCACTTGTCCTGGAGTCCTCCTGGAACCCCCCCTCACAGGTCCTACCTGGTGGCAGCTGGCGCCCAGCTGGCTGGTTCTGGGACCTTCATGCTAGTTATGCCTTGCCCAGGAAAGGCAACGATGATCCCCTGGCTTTGGGGAGGACTCAAGGCACTGGTGACCATTAGAGGTGGCTGGGGCTTCTCTGAAAGAAATCTTCCCGGCTCGGCTGGCATGGCATAGCAAGGACAGGACGACACCCAGGGACCCCACGCCTGCCCAGAATGCCTTGTAAGGTGTTGACGTGGGAATCTGGTGTAACTGGATAAAGCTGCAGTAGGGGAGGCCTGGCTGTGGGCTGCCTGTCCACCTGTAATCTAGCCCGGCCACAGTCAAGACCATGGAGTAAGGGTGGGATGGGAAAGTGAGCAGCAGGTGGGGAATACGCAGAGGGCGTGAGTCTGAACGTGGCCAGGGTCCATGCCCCAGGTGGGCTCCCCATGTGAGGTGATCCCCATGTGGGATGTGGGTGTTCTGAGAAATCACTTGAGCTTTGCTATGGTAACAGGTCTTACAAATTAAAATGTATGCATTTTGTTTTAAAATTTTTTCTTACTGTGAAGCCCAAGCAGTGCCACTTGTTTCTTCCCAGATCTTTCACTCCCACCCCCGAGACTCCTGTGGTCAGGGCTGCCTTGATCTCCCAGCTGTGCAGGGTGTAGTGGCTGTGCCAAGAGGGGGCAGCTCCGTCCTGACACTGTGCATCCCTGTGCACCCACACTACCCTCCTCCCACCGCCTGCCTTGGCCAGAAGGCCCAGAGGCTGCCACGTGGTGTTGTGAGGCAGTGCCCAGCGAGGGGCCGTGGAGCAGCATCCACGCTGCTGCCTGAAGAGGAGCCAGTTGTGTTTGGAGTTGCAGTCCTGCCAAAACACAGCACCCATGACCGCGCCCTCAAGTGGCTCTGAAAGCAGCACTTCAGTGAAAGCAAGAGGGACCTGGCTCGCAGTCAGACACTGCCGGGCCTCCAGGCCTGCGGAACCCTGGTCCTGGATCTCTGGGTGCCCGTGACAGGTGTGTGCAGTGTGCGATGACCACCTCAGGCTGCAGTCAGTGGGTGGGTGTGTGCAGTGTGCGATGCCCACGTCAGGCTGCAGTCAGTGGGTGTGCAGTGTGCAGTGACCACCTCAGGCTACAGTCAGTGGGTGTGTGCAGTGTGCAGTGACCACGTCAGGCTGCAGTCAGTGGGTGTGTGCAGTGTGCAGTGACCACCTCAGGCTGCAGTCAGTGGGTGTGTGCAGTGTGTGGTGACCACGTCAGGCTGCAGTCAGTGGGTGTGTGCAGTGTGCGATGACCACCTCAGGCTGCAGTCAGTGGGTGTGCAGTGTGCGATGAACACATCAGGCTGCAGTTAGTGGGTGTGCAGTGTGCGATGACCACCTCAGGCTGCAGTTAGTGGGTGTGCAGTGTGTGACCACCTCAGGCTGCAGTTAGTGGGTGTGCAGTGTGTGATGACCACCTCAGGCTGCAGTGGGAGTGTGCAGTGTGTGATGACCACCTCAGGCTACAGTCAGTGGGTGTGTGCAGTGTGTGATGACCACCTCAGGCTGCAGTCAGTGGGTGTGCAGTGTGTGATGACCACGTCAGGCTACAGTCAGTGGGTGTGTGCAGTGTGCGATGACCACCTCAGGCTGCAGTCAGTGGGTGTGTGCAGTGTGTGGTGACCACGTCAGGCTGCAGTCAATGGGTGTGTGCAGTGTGTGATGACCACGTCAGGTTGCAGTCAGTGGGTGTGTGCAGTGTGTGGTGACTACGTCAGGCTGCAGTCAGTGGGTGTGTGCAGTGTGTGGTGACCACGTCAGGCTGCAGTCAATGGGTGTGTGCAGTGTGTGGTGACCACCTCAGGCTGCAGTCAGTGGGTGTGCAGTGAGCGATGACCACATCAGGCTGCAGTCAGTGGATGTGCAGTGTGCGATGAACACATCAGGCTGCAGTTAGTGGGTGTGCAGTGTGCGATGAACACATCAGGCTGCAGTCAATGGGTGTGTGCAGTGTGTGGTGACCACGTCAGGCTGCAGTCAGTGGGTGTGTGCAGTGTGTGGTGACCACGTCAGGCTGCAGTCAGTGGGTGTGTGCAGTGTGTGGTGACCACGTCAGGCTGCAGTCAGTGGGTGTGTGCAGTGCGCGATGACCACTTCAGGCTGCAGTTAGTGGGTGTGTAGTGTGTGATGACCACGTCAGGCTGGTAGCTGCTCTCCTCCAGTGTGCCGTACAACTAGAGCTCTGAATGTGCTGGTTTTCTTTTTCTTGTTGCTTATTCACGACAGGGCAGGAGACAAACATTCCTGTTCTTCAGTTGGTGCTCTCAGCCCATAGCCCCTGGCCAGGCACCCAGAAATGCCTCCTTTCATCCTCAGTTTGCCATCCCCTCAGTGTCGCCTTGTCTTGCTGCCAAAGGCTGTCCTGTGTGACCACCAGTGGCCATGCTGGGAGACCAGGAGGCCTCTTAGCAGACCCAGAGGACCTGGGGTGGCGGCAGGGAGAGCGCCTGGCCCAGGAGGGGCCCACAGAGGCGTAGAGCGATTCTGTTGGCCATCGGTCTGGTCCTGGTTTTCCAGGGTAGTGGCCGTGGAGCTGGGGAGATGAGAGAGGCTTAACGTAGTGGCAGCCGGGCGCTCCTCTGTGCCTCCTGGCGAAGAAGCGGCAGAGGATGCAGTGCAGTCGCTGGTGCCTGATGGGGAGCGCTGGGCCGGAGGCTGAGGAGACGGAACCACCGCTGCACCCGTGTCTGGAACATACCATCTCCCTCCAGGAGCTTGCAGGATGGTGGTCCTCCCATGTACAGGGGCAGCCGGGGCTGTGTGTGCTGTGTGTGCTGTGTGTGCTGCTGTGTGCTGCTGTGTGCATGCTGGAGCCAGCTCCCTGAACCACTGGTGGTGTGGACCTGGGTGTCGGCTATGACCGGATTGCTTCAGGCCTTGTCTCCTCAGTGGTGGAAAGGAGATAATGGTAGGGGTGGGGAGATCAGTAGGGCACACTCCAGAGTTCCATGGAAATTGGCTAGAGGGGCCTGGGAGTGGGACCCGGGGGCAGGCGTGGGCCAGGCACAGGGACCTTGGATGTCTGCCCCGGAAGATGGCCTGAGGCTGGACCTGAAAGGTGGTGCTCTGACCCCACTGGATAGATAGGGAGGGGCAGGAGCCCAGCATAGCAGAGAGCAGGGTGGGCAGCCTCAGCCGTGGGACCCTCTGATGTTTCCCCCGTGTACCTGTCTGAACACTGGCCTGTGAGGCTGTTTTTAGTCCTCACTTCTTTGGTTCAAGAAATGCTGGTGCTATTTCAGGCACAGACATCAGTCCTTCCTGCCCACTTGGACTCCTGGGGCTTGGCTCAACATGCAGGAAACGGTGACAGGGTTAGGCTCTGAAGCCAGGGGCCCTGAGTTCACACAGTGCCAGCACTGGGGGGGGCATCTCCTTTGTGGGACCTTCAGCATGGCCCACGGCCTGCGGGTGGGGGACAGGGCGCTGCCCTGCCAGCCCTGCAGGAGTAGCCAGCAGAGGCGGACTCTTGGGTGACGCCCCCATCCCCAGCCTCTGCTCTGTTAGGCAGAGTGCTTGTAGTGTTGCAGTTCTCAGAACGCCCTGCCTTCCCGGTCCAGCCAGGGACCCGGTGGGACACTGATGTCTGCCCATCTCTGGGGCACGTCAGCATCGAGGAAATAGCAGCAGGGTTGGGACAGCCAGTACGTGGCTGAGGTGAGAACTGAGCCTGTGCTTGCCAAGCAGAGGGAGCTGGGTGATGCGCGGAGGAGACTTGGCCTAGCCTCTTACATCCTCTAAGGGCCGGTTGTCTGGAAGGCTCTGTCCAAGGCCCTCCTGTCACTGACTTGCAGGCCCCGGGGTCCTCGGTGAAGGGTGGAGCGTGTGGCAGTCAGCCTGAGTTAAGGATCTGATCTCTGGGGTAGCTCCCAGCCAGGGCCTGCCCAGCACCTGCCCGAGCCGAGCGCCAGTTCAGTTGAGATGGGAGCTGGGCAAGAAACTGGAGCTGGGGCTTGGAACCGAGCGGCTCACATTTCCCTGCCTCCCCAGGCCTGGCTGCCAGCAGCTCTCAGGGGTGAAGTGGGGGGTCTCTGGGGACAGCCGTGAAGGCAGAAGCCGTTGGGGGAGACTGAGAGACTAACGGGGAAAGTCAGTTTTGCCTTTTGTGCAGTTTGGAGGGTTGTGCCCATGGGGAAACTGCTTTTCGTCGGCTCCGTGCATCTAAGAATTCTAGCAAACAATTGAGAGCACAGAAGGTAGGCCGTGGAACGGAGGGGATGAAAGTGCTCACGGAACTGAAGAGCAAGGGGCGTGGCTGAGCTAAACACTGACGCGAGGGAGGGTGCTGTCCAGTTCTAGAACCAGGCTCTGCTCACTGTCACCACCTCAGGGACCTTGCTGCGCCACCCGCTGGACCCGGGGTAGCAGGAACACTGTAGCACACCTTGCTAGAGGGATCCGCCCTTCCCAAGGATGCCAGACTGCCCGCGTTCAAGCTGTCACCACCCTGTGCTTTGTTTCTGTCACGGGCAGTGTCTGTCAGAGCACGAGCTCACCCGAGTCAGCCCTCAGTGCAGTGAGCAGCAAGGACGGTCTCCCTGCCCACTGCTGGATCTGCGACTGTGCTGGCCCTCGGGGACTCTAAAGTGACCAACCGCAGGCCTCCCCATTGTGAGGACATCTGAGTTGTCCACTGTCCATCACCCTAAGACACAAGTGGGTGGGCTGACCCCACCCAACTGCTTTGGGGTTATGGGTCCAGGAGTGGATTAATTGTTGATGAAAGGTGACTTTAAACTGGGATTCTCGGGCTGTGAGGGGGGAACTCTGGCATTGGGCCCCAGTGACGACCCTGACTCCGACCCTTGGGGTGTATGGTTTGGGAGCTTGACCAGCAGAAGTGCGTTCCCACAGTCTGGAAGGCAGACGCCCGTGGTGGAGCTGTCAGCAGGGCATGAGCCTTCAAGTCCTGCCCGGTTGCCTCCAGGCTCTGGCAGCCAAGACATTTCTGGACTTTCACATTCATGTCCACGTTTCCCTCTTATCAGGGCACTAGCCCTGTCAATTATAGACCCACCCTAATAACTTCATCCTGACCACATCTGCAAAGATGATTTCCAAATAAGACCACATCCGTGGGTACCTGGGACTCCAGCCTTGTCTTTGTGGGATACCGCAAACCGTTACACAACAAACACAGCTCCTTCCACTACATAGTCGTGGGCTTGGGCAGTGGCAAGGGATGGCGCTGGGTTGAGTTACTGCTGCAGGTGAGGGTCTGAACCCACTGAGGCCGTTCACCTGCCTTCCCCAGGGGAGGCCACTCTGGCACTTGCTGGCCGAAGCTAGGTGAAGGGTCACGTCGGGGTGGAACGTTGGTGTTGGCAGGGAGGGGGGAGTTTAGAGGATCATTCTGCAGTCCTGACTCTTGACTGGGAAAGGAATGGATTCATTGACTTACTCAGGTGGGGGACTCCCATGGGGCATTTCCCAGCTACTCAGAATCTTATTCCTCATGAAGGTCGCGGTCTCTGTTTAATTTCTTTTCAAAGTCAGTTATCCAGTCAGCACATGCGCCTGAGCACCTCTTCTGGGCTCGGCCTGTGGGTCTTGGGGAAGAGGCCTCGCGGTGCTGACCATCTTGAAGCTGAAGGGTAGGTTTGAGATAGCTCCAGGTCCCAGAGGGAACAGGACAGATTGGGGGCTCAAGGCTTGGATGGGTTCAGCCTCCAGGTAGAGTGGTCAGTCAGAGCCCAAGCAGGCCGGAATGGACTTCCCTCGAGGGGCCCGCCTGGGACTGTGTTTAAGATGGAGGTCATCCTGTGGACTGACAGCTCCCATTCTTGTAGTCGCTGGTGTTGGATACAGGCTGCGCTCCCCTGATCTTCGTCTTCTCTCCTGCAGGACCACAGCCGCTTTGTCAACTGTGTGCGCTTCTCTCCCGACGGGAACAGATTTGCCACGGCCAGCGCTGATGGCCAGGTAAGGGCCAGCAATGGACGTGGTGGTGATGGGCAGACAGGCAGGCTTGGGAGCTTCCCCCTCCCCTGCCTCCTGAGTAGCACTGGAGGCCAGTGTGTGAGAGCCATTCAGTCGACAGGTGTGCCGGCTCCTAGGGGCATTCGTGGATGTGAGCACGTGATCCACTTTTGTTCTTATTTCTTGGAAGATCTACATCTATGACGGGAAGACGGGAGAGAAAGTGTGTGCTCTGGGAGAAGGCAAGGCCCATGACGGAGGAATTTACGCCGTGAGTACAAGTCCATTTCCTGAGGAGGGCCGAGTTGGGCTGAGGCTGTGTCTGCCTCTAACGGTCCCCCTTTTGAAAGGAGGGGCGGAAGTCGGGCAGTGGCCCAGGTCACTTTGAGGTGACGTGGGAAGGGAGGGGCAGAGCACTAACCTGGAGGCTGGTCCTGTCTGTGCCTGACTGTGTCCCTGCACTTCCAAGGCTGTGCTTGTCTCTGCCTGTGAAAGGGGGCTGTGGGGACAAGCCACTGTCTGGAATTCTCGTAACGTATGACACACTGTTTGTATAGATCAGTTGGAGTCCTGATAGCACCCACTTGCTTTCTGCTTCCGGAGACAAAACTTCCAAAATTTGGGATGTCAACGTGAACTCTGTGGTCAGCACGTTTCCCATGGGCTCCAATGTTCTGGACCAGCAGCTGGGCTGCCTGTGGCAGAAGGACCACCTCCTCAGCATCTCCCTCTCTGGCTACATCAACTATCTGGACAAGAACAACCCTAGCAAGCCCCTGCGGGTCATCAAGGTGAGGGCGGCTCTGCCCTGGGCTGGGCAAGACGGAGATGGGTGGCCAGCGGTAGAGAGGAGATGGAGGGGGGTCTGAGCCAGACTCCCTGGGCCTCCCTCGGGGGCTGTGAGCATCGTCCCCTGCCGTACCAGGCCTGAAGCCCATGGACTGTGCCTCCTGTGGCTCTGCACCCTGTTTTCCCGCTGCTCACAAAGAAAGGCCCTGTGCCCCTTGTATGAGATCTGTCTCTGCGCTCAGCCAGTGGGGCGCAGCTGAGAGCCAGGGCAGAGCTGTTGGAACAGAAACTCTGGGCTCCTGCTTTGTTCCGTGAGTTCCCTGAGCACAGGGAATGAGGAGCCACTTTCTGCGAGACTCCCAGCCAGGGTCATGAGTGTGCAGGGGAGGCTGGCACCTGGGGGAGTTTCCCAGGGCCGTGCTGTGCAGCCCTTGCTGTCAGGCCTTCTGCCCAGGAGAGCAGTCTGCCGTGGTTACCCCCGATGCTGGGCACCAGGTGTGTCTGCTGGCCCAGCTACCCTCAGTGCAGGAAGCGTGTGCATGTCTGCTCCTGCTGCCATTACTGCAACACTGTTGGTCACCATATTGGGACCTGCCACCCTGGCTTCAAGCTGCCATTGTTTGGCCAGGTCAGCTCAGGGAATCTTGTGGGCTTTGACAGTTGTCCAAAATGAAGCTCATGTCCCAGTTCTCAGGCCATATGCAAATCACTGGAGATACTTGATGTTGCTCACAGGCTATGAGAGTTTCTAAGCCACGTGCGGGAGCTATGATAGCGGTTCTCATCCCATCTGCGTATCACCTGGGAGCTGTATACAGGATTTGTGGCCTGGCTGGCCTCGGGTTCAGGAGGGTCTCCAGGGGAGACTTCACAGGGGGGCACCTGTGACACCTGAGGGTGAGGGCTGAACGCTGGCATTGCAGGAGTTCTGGGAGAGGCTGTGCTCCGGGTAGTGACTGTGCACATCGGCCCCAGCAGGCCAGGCAGGCCTGAGACTCCCAGTGGTGCCGCCCTTCTGGGACTGGCGGTGACAGGAAAGGCAGTCCCTTTCTGGGGCGTGGAATGGAGTGACTCACTGGCTCCTCACTGGCTCCCCAGCCCTGCAGAGAACCGCGTGTACCTCCTCCCAAGATAAATGCCGTGTTGTGGCAACAAGTGGGACACCCACATGCTTGGAAAGTTCCTGGAGAAAGCTCTGCACAGGAGTGCCAGCTGGTAGTCAGACGTTGCTGATAGAGAGCAGGGCCTGGCTGCAGGAGCCGCCTCCCTCGGCTAGGGAGCGGGCTGTGATTAGACTACAGCCAGCCAGGGATTTCTGTGACGGGAGCAGTGTTGAAGAGGCGAAGGGTCCTCTCTGGAAACAGCTCTTGGGTTGTGGGCGCATCATCGGTGTGCCACCATGGCAGCAGTCGGGGAGGTGGAAGAGAAGAAACCTGCCAGCCAGAGCCTGAAGCTGGCAGCCCCAACCGCCTGTGCGAGCTCCTGAGGCTGACAGGCTCTGCACAAAGCAGAACCCCCAGCGCCTCCTCATTTGTGGTGGACGAGAGCCGCGTTTCCTCCTGCAGTGGCTTAAGGGTGTCTTGGGAGCAGGCCGTGCCTCTGCGTGAATGAGGTGCCCGTGTGCTGGGCTTTGTTTCAGATCCCGGTGGGGTTGGGCACCTCGGGGGAAGGACACACATGGTGGGGACTTGTCAGATGATTGGCCAGCCGGAGAAGGGCTGCTCACTGTCCATGGAGTGTGCCTTTGGGCACTGGGGCCACCGGGGTCATAGCTGCTGTGTGCTGAGGGGCTGAGGGTAGGCCTGTGTGTCCTCAGCTCACCCTGCCCCTCTGTCTCCTCCACAGGGTCACAGTAAATCAATCCAGTGTCTGACGGTGCATAAAAACGGCGGCAAGTCCTACATCTACTCTGGGAGCCACGACGGGCACATTAATATCCTTTGACTCACAGAGCTGGCTCCCATCGCTGGCAGGAGAGGGGAATTTCCTGTTCCCACGGTGCCAGGGGCCAGGCCAGCCAGGTGGCACCCGCCCCAGCTACACGCTCACTGGGCAGCACTTGTCTGGGACGGGCCTCACCGCTGCAGGCCTCCAGCTCTGGGGGCTGCAGCCTTGACCCAGTCAGTCGCGGCTCTGCCACTTAGAGCATGACTCAACCTCTGAACTCAAGCTGCTGCTTCTCTTGCTTTTTGTTTTGTTCTGTTTTGTTTTTTTAGGTTTGTGTATTTTATTTGAAAGAGTTACAGAGAGGGAGAGGCAAGGAGAGAGAAAGGTCTTCCATCTTCTGGTTCATTCCCCACATGGCCTTAACAGCCAGGGCTGGCCCAAGCTAAAACCAGGAGCTTCTTCCAGGTCTCCCACGTGGGCCCAGAAACAGAGCCATCTTGCGCTGCTTTCCCAGGCCATTAGCAGGGAGCTGGATCAGAAGTGAAGCAGCGGGAACTCAGACAAGCACCCGTGTGGGATGCTGGCATCACGGGTGGCGGCAGCCCACGGTGCCAGAATGTCGGCCCAAGCAAATGACAGCTGCAGCCAGTCTGGGCCACGTCACAAGTGGCAGAATTCAGAAGACGTTAGACACCCCCTAGTATACAGACCTCTTGGTTTAAAAATGGAGAGACTGCAGCCGAGAGAGGGGCCTTCCCCAAAGTCACAGAGCCCATCGGCAGCAGAGCTGGGACCAGAACTCCTGATGGGGTTCTTTGTGCTTCAGTGATGTCCCCTGGAGGTGTGTGTGGCCGCTTTCCAACCCCCCCCCCGAGATTTCTAAGAGTGGGGGTTACTGTTGTGCTTTCTCTGTGTGGCTTGGGGCTCCTGACAGCCCCTCACAGGATGGTCTTGAACCTCAGTGCGCAGGTACTTGACCACGCCACAGAGCCAGCAGGTACTGTGCGTGAGTTGGGTCACCTGCTGCATCTGTGTACAGTCCTCTGGTCCACGGGCTACTGCGTCTCCTGAGGGCTGCCCAGGGGCTCATACCACGTGCCTGTTGGCAGGAATTCAGTTTCACAGGATCTGGGGCAGACTCCCCTGTCCCAGGAGGAAGGCAGGTAAGTTACTTCTGCCTTGCTGAAGGTAGGGAGGTGAATGTGGGGGAGAGCGGAGTGGGCCTGCCCGAAGCTGCGTCCCAGCTGGTGGTGGAGAAGCCCCGAGAATCGGTGTTTGCTCTGGTGGTAACCTGTGAGTTGGCCCTCAGTGTCCTGGCTGGGCTTTCCGTCCAGGACTGCGTCGGCCTTGGGCATCTCCAGGAGACGTAACTTTGATTGGAATGAGATTCTCACTTTGTGCTGAAGCCGTGACTTAGACCTAAGAGCCTGGGCCCTGCGTCCACAGCCCCAGGGCCGATTCTCAGGAGCTCCTGGGCAGCCATTGGCCGAGCAGAGGGTACAGCCAGCCTCCTGTGCTCGGGCATGGGCTTGACAGTTCACGGAAAGCAGAGTGCCGCGGGAGCTCGGTTAAGAGTCCCCGTGCGGTGACTGCATGGGAGCCATCCGCTCTGACAGCGGGGCTGACCTGTTCCTGAGGAGCACACCGAGAGGCTGTTCTAGAAGTCACTGCAGATTCAGGGTCCCGCTTCGGAAACGCTTACCAGAAGTGTTTGGGATTTGGGGATATTTGCAGTCTGTGTAATGAGATGCCTTCAGGCATCTAACCATGACGTTCATTTATGTGTCATATACACAACAGAAACAGCACCTGCGTTTTGACCGCAGCCTGTCGCGTGAGAGCAGTTGTGGGAGCTGCAGACTGGGAGCAGGCGTGCCGTCTAGCAGTGAGGACGCCCGTGTGCCACAGAGAGTACCTGGGTTCAATTCCTGACTCTGGCTCCTGACTCTGGCTTTCTGCTAATGCAGACCCTGGAAACGCAGTAACGATAACTCAAGAAATTGGTTCCTACCACGCTCCTGGCAGACTTGGATTGTATTCCCGTCTCCGGGTGCCAGCCCTGGATGTTGAAAGCATTTAGGTAGTGAACCAGTGAGCGGGAACTTCCCACCTTGGCGCCTCTACCTCCCAAGTTAAAAATCAGTTTAGATTTGGAGCGTTTCTGATTTTTGAATTAGGAATTCTGTCTTAGCCGTGGCAGGACAGGGGGATACTGTAATCTGAGTGGGCCAGTGTGGCATTGTAGGAGCTTACTTGGACCATCCAGAACTTGGCCGAGGAGTTAGCGTTGCCGGCGAGCTTGTGTGGCTGGCTCACTGGCTTCCCACGTCTGCCTCTGGCCTTGCAGATTTGACTTCTATAGGAGTTCTCAGGCCAGCTCCTGCTGGCTTCTGTCGCTCCTGTGCTGGTCCTCTGAGCTGCCTGGAATGAGGAGCTGGCCCCAGCCCCAGCCCTGGAGCCCAGGCATTTCCTTAACCCGGCCCCACATTACTGGGATTCCGAGACCGGGGAGAACGACTCCTTCGCTGGGAAGGGCCACACAAATCAGGTGTCCAGGATGACCGTGGATGAGTCTGGGCAGCTGGTCAGCTGCAGCATGGACGATACCGTGCGGTACACCAACCTCATGCTGCGGGACTACAGGTGAGAGCCCCCGGGGGAGCTTGGGATAGGGGCTGTCAGGTCGTGGGGGATCCAGGATGAGCCCTGTACCAGTGGCAGGAAACGCTGTGTCTGCTCTTTTCCTTTGTGTCATTCACTGCAGAGGTGTGGGGCTCTGGCCCATGTAGAGGGTGACGAGGGGCAGCTCAGCCCAGCAATAGGTGGAACAGATCACAGCCTCACTCTTTAGCAACCTCTTTGTTTCCTTATCAGAAAAGGTCAGTAACATAGAGCCTGCCTTGGGCCCTTGTGGAAAGTCAAGGGAAACCCTGAGAGGCACCTGGCACAGGGCAGGTGCTTGGTACAAGGAATATCTTCCTGCTCAGGGCTGAGACAGCCATGCGGGTGCTCTGACTGAAAACAGTGCCTGTTTGTTTTTGCTCTGTGCCTGGTTGAGGGCAGGGAGGTGGGAGAGTGCTGTAACAATGAATCCAGAGCTCTAAGTACTAGCAGAGGGGGAGCACCTGCAGCGTCACACTCTTGGGACCCACCCGCCTCCCACTGCAGGTTCCTGGAGGACTCCTTGGTGAGCCTCTCACAGGGCAGGATCAGCCTTGGGACCCAGGCGTCCTCACTGTTGTCCCATGGCAACCCTGTCTCAGCACATGCTCAGTGAAGGTCTTCCCTCTGGTAGGCTGCAGTGGCCTGGCTATGGCATGGTGGCCTTTTTGCAGGCCCGTCCAGGAGCCTTTGGGACTCCACACTTGGCCCAGTTACATGGAGGTTTCCTCAGTGCACAAAAGTTTTTAAGTGTGTGTATCTGATAGCACATGCTTTTCACCAGCCAGGATTCTACAAAGTCAGCCTTGTAAGGAGAATGGCTGTGACTTGGCAGGAGGGCACCAGCCTTTGGCCAGCACACATGGGGAAGAAGCCACAACTGGGTGGGGTAATGGTGGCTGTTCCCTGCACTTCCTCTGGGCTGCCGTCATGCTCTAATCTCAGCCCGGCGTAATGAGTCCCTCTGCCTGCCCGCCCATGTTTTGGTGAATCGCTCCTGAGTGTAGAGTGCAGCATTTCCTCCTCCTGCGTAGGCGAGTTTCTGTGGCTTTGCAGTGAGTGCACACCAGACACCTGCACAGAAGCGCTAATCCTAAAGTCAGGTTTTTCTCTCTCACAGTGGCCAAGGAGTTGTGAAACTGGATGTCCAACCAAAGTGCGTAGCTGTTGGCCCTGGGGGCTATGCTGTGGTCGTGTGCATTGGGCAGGTATGGAACCAGCTGAGTCTGGGGCTAGGAGAAACTGGAGTAGGGGATCGGAGCCTACAGCTCTGTCTGTGGGGTCCAGATTGTACTTGGCTTCCTGCTGGACAGTATCTGTCGCTGGTGATTTTGGTTTGGTTTTAAGATTGATTTATTTTACTTGAAGGCAGTTAGCTGTTTCATCTGCTGGTTCATTCCCAGAATGGCTTCAACAGCTGGAACTGGCCAGACTGAAACTAAGAGCCTAGAAGTCCATCTGGCCTCCTGGTGGGTGCTGGGGCCTACGTACTTGGGCCATTCTCCACTGATGCATCAGCAAGAAGCTGGATCAGAAGTAGAGCAGGGGCTGGCACTGTGGCATAGTGAGCCAAGCCTCTGCCTATAGCACCAGCATCTCATATGGGCACTGGTTCGTTTCCCAGCTGCTCCTCTTCCAATCCAGCTCTCTGCTATGGCTGGGAAAGCAGTAGAAGATGGCCCAAGTATCTGGGCCCCCGCACCTGCATGGGACACCCAGAAGAAGCTCCTGGCTTTAAATTGGCCCAATTTTAGCCATTGCCGCCATTTGGGGAGTGAACCAGAGATGGAAGACCTTTCTCTCTGTCTCTCCCTCTCTGTGTCTGTAACTGTCTCTCAAATAAATAAGTAACTTTAAAAAAAAAAAGAAGACGAAGAAGAAGAAAAAGGAGTGGACAGCCGGGACTTGAACCGGCACCCATATGGGATACCAACGTCACAGGTAGCTGCCCAGCCACTGTGCTACAGCACCGGCCCTTCACCCGTGTTTTTGTTGGGCACTTATATGTATGTGCTGAGCTGTGTCTCACGTAAGTCCTGCTAAGTGGGCAGAGAAGAGTCACGGCCTGAGCTCTGTGGCTGATGAGAGGCAGCTGGGCCCTTTCCCCAAGCATCTGACCGCATGTGTGTGCCCTTCATCCTGTGAGGCCCTAGAGGATGCAGCTCCTCGTGTTCAGATCCCAGCCCTGCCACACTGGAGCCGCGTGACCTCGGGCGTTGACCTCACTCACCCTCTACGCTCTAGCTTTCTCATCCCCAGCAGACTCACAGGCGGGTGAAGAGGAAATGTGTGCCGTTCCTCTTAGACAGGGAAGCTGAGGCTAGAGGGCTCTGTGGCATTTGTTCGCAGGCCACCAGGCAAGGGGGGCCTCAGCCTACGTGGGGCAGTGTCTGACTCCACAGCCTGGATGCTCGTGCCCACCGCGAGGCCACCTGCACGCCATTCCTGTTGGAATTTCTGGGACAGAGGGCCCTTGACTGGAAGCCACAGCTGACCCACTTTGTACAGACAGCAGGTGCCGTCTGCCTGCAGACGTGGGCGTCCCAGCGTGTACATCAGGGACGGCAGGTGGTGACTGAGCCCCTGCCGGCACGCATGACAGACCTCACTGCAGAAAGCTGCTGTTCAGGATCCGCCTGCCTCTCCTGCGTTCTGTGAACTGAATTTGCTTTGGGGACACCACATTTCTGTGTGTCCTAGATATTGAGAGCTCCTTGCCAAGTAATTATTGCCACAGCCTGATGACCAGTGGGGGCACAGAGGTGACCGAGGTGTGTGCTGCCTGGCCTTCGTCAGGGCTGGCCGGCCTCCTCCCCCTCCATGCACGGTGCCTTGATGTCTTCTCTGGTAAAGTCGTGGTCGCTCAGGCTGTCCCCATCTGAGGATCACTGGAGAGGTTGCGGCAGGCTCTGCCCAGTGCCTGGTGCTCAGGATGTGCTGACGGGGACCCTCGGGGGAGGGGTCCTAGGATCCCTAAGAACCTCAGGCACATGTTTTTGCCTTGTCCTGCCATTGCTCACCCGGGTCTCTGCAGGGCTCCTTGTCTCAGGTCACAGGGCCCGGAATGTGCCCAGACAGGCCAGATATTTTAGGTGAGCGAATGGCTTCAGGTCTCATGTCAGGCAGATACCTCTGCCCTAGCTCTTCACTGTCAGGAAGGTCAGTCCACCTCCTGACCCTGGAGGTAGGGAGAGAAGTGTTCCCTGAGTTCTGTCCTCAGCAGTAGATTGCAGTCAGCGTGCTCCTGCCCACCACCCCAGAACAGACACAGAAGCTCCTTGGGGGAGCAGCTGATGGCCTAGGCAGGGCTACGATGAAACAAAGCCACAACTCTGAGATGAAGGTCGTTCTGTTTGGGAACAGTCCAGTAGGTAAGCAAGGAGCAGTGGTCTGGGGCCAAAGAGGAGCCTCGTGTGTGTTTAGGAGAGGCCTAGTGCAGTGTTCAGGCACGGGGATTCAGGGGTCCCCAGGGCTTGGGTGCTGGGGTGAATCCTGTCTCACTGACCCCTGAAGAACTGTGGGACCCCAGGCCTGTGGTGTGAACTTTCTCCTATTTCCATCTGTAAGGCTGGGGAGCTGCCCTCCCTTTTCCGAGGGCTGGAGCACTCAGTGCACACAGCTGCTTGTTTACTGTCACTGGTTCCTTGTGTACCCCAAGTCCTAAATTCCATTCTCATGAGATCCGCCTGGGAAACTGAGGCCAAAATGGTGTGTGAACTCTCGCTACAGCAGTGGGTGACTAGGTCAGGTCTGTCCCAGAGTCCTGCCTGTTCACCGTATTCTGCAGGAGTATCTGTATCAGGGCCTGGACGCATGGGCTCAGCCCACCTGCCCTTTCTGAGGACAGACAGCCCAGCCTGATGTGGTCCTCCCACCCCCTTAGGGGCAGCTCCAGGCTGGCGTTGTGGCAGCAGAGCAAGGGGTCCTCACTGCCCACTGTGGCCTGGGGCTGTGGGTGAGCAAAGAGCCTCCCTGAGTGGGGAGTCCCAGTTGTGCTGCTGACCTGCTGGGGTTGGGAGCAGGCACTCAGCACCTGCCCCTGGTGTGTCTTCAGTCCCAGGGGCACCAGCAGCAAACCAGGCTACACTGGCTGACAAGACCGCTGCTTGCAGCCTGAGAAGCCAGAACTTGAATCCTGCCTGTCAGCATGTCCACTGCTGCACTAGACCTGTGCACTCCAGTGTTGTCCCCTTGGCTCTTGGGAGAATTCGGTTCAGCAGGGGTCATCTTCTGCCACCCACTGTCTGTCTAGAGAGCCACAGAAACCTCAGGAGACTCCGCGAGCTTGGTGCTGACAGTAACGTGGCGACGATGAGGTTCATGGCCGGTGTTTGCTGAGACACTGAGCAGGGCCTGTCGGTGAACTGCTGACTGATGAGGTCACGAGGCTGTGACTGACGCTCCCCCGCCGACGGCTGCGGGTCCCAGGGACTCCAGGCTCCTCTGACCAGCTGCCCCTGTCCTGCAGGTGGTGCTCCTGAAGGACCAGAAGAAGTGCTTCAGCCTCGACAGCCTCGACTACGAGCCGGAGGTCGTGGCGGTGCACCCCAGCGGCGACGCCGTGGCTGTCGGGGGCGCAGTAAGGCCATTTCCCTCCCCCTGTCCTCTGAACTCACATCCAAGCCGCTGGAGGGTGACTGGGGAGGCAGGCAGTGGGCCTAGGGCTGTAAGGAACCTGCTCTCAAGCCTGCTGGTCAGGGTACAAACTTTTCTGGTGGTCTGCTCTGCCTCACATGGGCCCCAGCCTTTAGCAGGCCCCTTGCAACAGGGCAGGCAGCAGTGCCGGTGATGTGGGCCTCTGTCCCCCAGCGCTGGGGCCCCTGGACTGGGCAGAGGTGGGGGTGACCCTGGCGGCATTGTGCTGCAGTCTTTGCACCATGTTCCGCTGAGCGGGCAGCTGCTGCTGCGTGCTGAGCCCTGCCTGGCCCGGGATTTCGTGGCCAGGGTATCCCCATCTTGTGGAAGCCCAAGATCCCATGTCAGGGGAGAGGACAGCATCCCGGGGTGCTGGGCCCACAGGTGCTGGGAAGACACTGCTGAGAATCTTCTTGACCTTCCGGGTACAGGACCAGCCTGATGATTGCCCAGTTTTCCTGGAGTCCTGGTTCTGCTTACTTGTCTTTAACAAAGAGAGCTCATGGGCAGGGAGCGGTCGCCGTCTTGAGGTCCTATATAGCCGCCCTGTTTCATCCTCGCGGCCCTGGTCAGAGGATGGGGGGGAGCAGTCCTGCCACTGAAGTGACTGGCCCTTAACTCCCAAGGGAAGCAAGAGCCTGCTGGGCTGTTTGCCCAGAGCTGGCCAGACTCCAGGTGCAGCCTGCCAGGCACAGAGCCAGCTGTGCACCCAGGCACTGAAGGTGTTTCTCACGGAGCTAATCTACGAGATGGCTTTGCCTAGTGCCGAGTTCATGGGACAGAAGCCGTAGCATCAACTCTGCAGCAGCCACTCTGCACAACTACTGAGTCAACCCACCCCAACCTCAAAAGCCATACCTGGTACCTGTTCTCTGCTCCCTCAGCCGGTGGGTCAGCTGGGCAATGTCCCTGTGGAGGGTAGGGGTAGGCCCCTCACCTGTGCCTCCTGCCTGTAGGCCGAGCCCTTTCTGCCCCCTGACTGCTAATGCCCTTGCCCTTCTGGGCAAGCCACTGGCCCCTTGGCATTTATCCTCGCATCTGCTCTGTGGCCAGGCTAGACCTGCCGTTGTACTTTGGTGTTCCAGTGAGGTGGCGTGAAAAGGTGACGTGGCAGGTGGGTGTGCTGACCCTGCCACGGCAGCTGTTTCCCCTCCTCACCATTGGTGTCAGTTTCAGTGGGCTTAGGACCCATAGGCCGCGTCACCTCTGTTTTTCACAGACATGTGTTTTTGAACAGCTTCTGTGTCTGTCTCACTGACTGCACTCCCTCCGCCCTGCCCCTGAGCCATGCTGGCCCCACGAGAATCCCCTTCTCCCACCTCACTGGCTGACTGGTCAGCAGCCCCACGGGCTCCCCGGGACCTGCCCTGCTCTGTGCACCACCAGGCACTGCACTGCTCTCCTGTCCCTCCCACACGTGTTCTGGCTGGACACTGTCTCTCTTGGTCCTGGGGCCTACTGCCGTGGGGGACTCTGGCCTGTCCACCATTCTCCTTCCCCCTCACTGCCCTGGCCTGGCTCCTCCCCAGCCACCCGCAAGTGTGTTTGCCTGTTCACAGGGGGTGCACAGTCAGGGCCTGGGTGGGGGGCTACAGCCAGATCTGGAGTTGAGCTCAGGGTTCCCCTTGCATGGCTGTGTCATGCCCCTCTCGTGTGACTGAGTTCGTTCTATCAGTGGGAGAGAGGTTGCTCATGCCCCTCTCGTGTGACTGAGTTCGTTCTATCAGTGGGAGAGAGGTTACCCTTTAAGCAGCAACATGGCAGAAAACGGGTTGGATGTCTGACAGCCAGTTGTCCCCACTTTACCTAGAGGCTGCTCGGCCTGTTCCTCCTGGTGTGTGGAGGCCCAGGCCTGTGTGTGTGTGCGGGGGCCATGTAGGTGCAGCTTGCTCCTGTGCTTTTTTCCCATGGGGTCCGAGACACTAGGCTCAGTGGCATAGCATTGCAGCAGGTGGATGTCCCACACTCACCTGATTTCCTGTCCTGGCCTCTACCCCTGGAGCTTCCTGGGCCGTTCTTCAGCACAGCCCTTTTCCTTCGTTTGACCCGATCCTGTTAGGTGTGGGCTTCAAGAGAGCCTGGCAAGGGCTGTGACAGCATGTGTCCCAAAGGAGCCTGCCAGGACAGGGGCGGTGCAAGACAAGGCCAAGAGCCTGGGCCAGGACTTGGGCTGGCGCCCCAGAGCAGTGTCAGCGGGAGGCTTTTCCTCCCTAAAACCTGGGGGTGTCCTGTGTACGCCTGTGCTGAGAGTGGCTCCCCCTGCCCACCTGCAGGACGGCAATGTCCGTGTGTACAGCATCCTGGGCACCACGCTGAAGGATGAGGGCAAGCTCCTGGAGGCCAAGGGCCCCGTCACGGACGTGGCCTACTCCCACGACGGCGCCTTCCTTGCTGTGTGTGACGCCAGCAAGGTAGTCACAGTGTTCAGCGTGGCCGACGGCTACTCGGTAAGTTGGGTGGCAGACCCCCCGCCCCGTCCCGTGCAGGCGGGGCAGGTGGGAGGTGACGCAGATGGAGGGTCTTGGGCTGCACCTTCTCCCTTGTCTCCTCGAGCAGTGAGTATCCTGCTGGGTGCTGCAAGGAGTGGGGGAGCTTGTGAGGCATGCCTGGCACAGTCAGCACTTAGCGTGGGCCCGCAGTGCTGTCACTGGGAGGGCTGGGTAGATGACAGGGGGAAGCTGGCCTGAGCCCTGACCTCCCTCCTCTGTTTTCAACCTGCAACTAGGAGAACAATGTCTTCTATGGACACCATGCAAAAATCGTCTGCCTGGCGTGGTCACCGGACAATGAACACTTTGCCTCCGGGGGCATGGACATGATGGTTTACGTCTGGACCCTGAGTGACCCAGAAACCAGAGTCAAGATCCAAGGTGACTCCATTCCTCTAACTGCCCCCAGGGCCAAATGTCCCCCGTGATTCTAGGAAGGTGCCAGCAGAGGCACCACAGGATGCTAGATGTTCGTAGAGGGAACACAGTCTCTGTACATAGGACAGGGGAATCAGCTCTGCCTGACCGGGCACCCTTCCCTGGTACAGGGCCATCTAGCAGAACCGTGTGAGCTTCTTGTGGGTGTGCAGTTCTAGTCGTCACATTTCAAAAAGAGACAGGTGAAATTAGAATTTCCTTTTGAGTGGCAGAGCGCCTATCTGCTGGTTTGCTCCCTAGGTGCCGACAAAGGCTGTGGCTGGACAGGGGCCAGAAACTCAGCTCTGGTCTCACACATGAGTGGCAGGAACCTAGTTACTTGAGCCATCACCCCTGCCTTCCAGAATTGCCTTAGTGAAAGCTGGAACCAGAGGCAGAGCTGGGACTTGAACCCAGGTACTTCAGCATGGCGTGCAGGTGGTGAAGTTAGCCTGAAGTAGATTGATCATTTGCACCTGTGGCACTGGAGGCAGGTCCTCGGTCAGCTGTAGACTTCGGAGCTTTCCCACTTCTAGATTCTCAGAGTAGTGATGCTGAACCGCTGAAGTCTGGACAAGTGCTCAGCCATAGCTCATTTCCAAGATCTGGTGTCCTGTGGCCAGTGGCCCTGGATGAGGACTTGAACCCTGCCCATGACACCACCCCCCCCACCCCCCTGTGTGCACGTGCACACACACACACTGACACAGACACCACTTCCTCTCACGCTGCCCCTCCTCATCGTCCTTTCCTGCCCACTTTGTGAGGCTGCCTTGTGTCATGTGTCAGTGGGGTCCTTTAAGAGCAATGTGAGTCCATCGCCTGAGGCAGCTCCCAAGCTACAGGAGAGGGCGGGCGCCTGAGGCCCTCCTGTGCCTAGGAGCCAAGGGGGGCAGAGCCCATGAGCTGTGCTGAGGAGGAGGTTCCCGCACGTCCATGGATGAAGTGGATCAAGAAAAAGACGCAGCAGGCGCTAGGTGGGAGCCCAGGTTAGCAGACACTGACTGGCCCACGGTTGGTGTTGGTGCGTGTGGGTGAGTGCTCACCGGGCATGCAGCACCGAGCCCAGACTCCTGGTTGAGGCGTGGTTGGTGTTGGTGGCACCCCAGCACTCCCAGGCCCACGTGGCCCCTGCTGGCTAGGATGCTCGGCATCAGGCCGGTGTATCCTAATTTGCCAGGGGCTCACTCTGCCTTGGTCCAGTTCTGGGGACCACCCACAGCTAGGATACAATGAGCCCATAGGGACTCCCTTCCTGGGGCTGGAGACCTCTCCCTGGGCGTCACAGGAAGAGCTGGCTGCAGAGGGACACAGTTAGGGTGGAGGGCGGGGCAGATGACAGACAGAGCCTGCAGGGTCCAGGCGCCTGCTCTAGAGGGCAGTGCCCTGGGGTGGGGCCCCGCCCCCTAGCTTCTCGGTGTCTTACTCAGTATCACTCCTGTGTTAATCCCGCAGGCAGACTGTGTGTTGTCTGCCCGTGGGGCGAGGACACTGGTTGTCAGGACTTGAGCGGGGTGTTGGGCAGCGGGTAGGCAGAGGCCGAGAAGCCAGGAAGTTCCGCCTTCCTTAAATGCTGCCCTTTCTCCCAGATGCACACCGGCTACATCACGTCAGCAGCCTGGCCTGGCTGGACGAGCACACGCTGGTCACGACCTCCCACGACGCCTCTGTCAAGGAGTGGACAATCACCTATTGAGGAGCCCCGGCCTCTGCCCAGCTGAATCAGGGACTAGTTTCACTGCAGCGGATCATACTTCTCTAACCGTTCTGTACTGGCCCCGCCCCGCCCCGCCCCAGCAGGGGAGCCCCTCAGTGAGTACCCTCGTGTCTAGGGTACTCCTGTCTGTACACATCCTTCTGAAAGCTTTAGACAGTGACTGTTTGCACATGGAAAATAAAGCAAGCACTTCAACAGTGTGTGGAGCATAACTAAAACCCACAGCCCAGCCCGCCTTGCGGATGTGGAACATTCCAGAGGCACAGCCTCAGAAGCACAGAGAGCCCCAGCCCTCAGCGGCACTCGCTGCAGTCAGGGAGGAGGCCGTACAGGTGAGCTTAGCCGCAGAGCAGTGCTGTCCGAGTGAGGAGGGAGCGCTGTGTGGAGCAGATGTCTGTCTCCCCGGCATGCGCACCGCGCAGCGCGTGGCTGCCTCCAGATCACGGAACATACGCATCAACCCTGGATGTGTTTCATTGTCAGGTTTTGTGCTTGATTTTAATGGCGTCGTGGGATTTTTTTTTAAATGTAACTAGCTGTTGCCTGTCGGTGTTTACAAGCTAGTGTGCTGACGGCACCAGGCCCCAGCACTGGGCCCGTTAGCCAGACCGAGGTGTCCTGGCCACCACTCCTCTTGCTTTGGTGTTTTCCTGTCCTTCTCTCCACTTCAGCCCCCATCAGCAGAGATTAATTTAAGGGCAAAGATGGTGTCGCTGTGAACTGATCTGTCGTCGTTCTTACCTTCCCCTTTTTCAGTGCAGAAATTAAAGTAGCATAAAGCACCGTGATGGGTGTGTGTGCGTGTGTCGGGGCACTGGTGGCTGTCGGCCGAGTGCAATCCCTCTCCCTTGCACTTGAGAAGACACTTGAGCGCTTTAAGAGATTAGACTGAGAAATAATTAAATATCTTTTCTCTTCATTGTGGATCGCTGACTCTGTGTGATGGGGGCACCCGGGGGCGGGGGAGCTTGGTGGGGCTCTCCTAGCTTTAGGCATCTCACCCAGCCTATAGACTCTGGAGGGAGACAGGAGAACCCAGAATCCTTGGATCACCGTGTGTTGGAAGGAGGGGCCTGGACTCGGGAGTCCTGTTCCCATCCCCCCCCCCCCCCCCCCCCCTGTGTCACTGGCCTCGGCTGCATCCCTCTCATTTCTGGCCTGAACTCGATGTGGAAGCTGAGCGCCCTGGACCAGGTGCTGTCCAGAACCCCACCTGGCTCTCGATTCTTGGTCAGCTGTGGCTTGTCTAGTGCTGACTTCCAGAAAGGGCTAACATGCAGTTAGATACTGAAAAGAACTGAATTCCTGAGCATCCAAGTTAGTTGCAGAGTGAAAGGCCCTGCTCTTGGGTGGAAGGAAGGAAGTCCACGTGTGCAGTCCCGTTAGGACATCCATCTCTCAGGGCCTGGGCACACTGCCTCTGTTCAGCCATGTGTTCTTTCATGGAAAGGAAGATCTTTAGTCTCTAAACCTAAAGTTGGGGCTGTCCCAGAGCCAAGTCCAGAAACTTTCTGTTTGGGACAAGGTCGTTCCACATCACCGGGGAGACTGAAGGTCGTTCCACATCACCGGGGAGACTGGTTCAGTGACCCATGCTGACCGAGCTTGGCGAGAATCTGGAAGGGGAGCGGGATTGCTCACCTGTGACAGCCCACATGAGAGGTAGGCCAAGGGTGAATTAAAACTGGGACCTTCAGAGGGCAAGAGGATGTGAATTCAGTCGCACAAACACAAGTGTTTCTAAGGATAGAATCAGAAGGATAAAAGTGGTATGTCTGACTTGAACATTGTCATTGGACGGGGAGAAACAAAATCAAAATAGCACATGATTGGGCCGAATGATGTCTAAGTATGTTTTGTTGTGGAATTTCACTTGAGAGAGGCCATACCTCTTACCCACTGGTTAATTGCCTGAGTACCTACAGCAGTAGCCAGGGTAGGACTAGGCCAAAGCAAGGAGCTGTGAACTCAGTCTGGGTCTCCCCACTTGGGTGGCGGGGACCCACGGTCTTGAGCCATCACCTGCTGGCTTCCAGGCTGTGTATGAGGAGGAAACTGGAATTGGAGTCAGCCAGAACTCAAACCCAGGCACTCGGGATATGGGATGTGGGCATCCCAAGCAGCACGTAAATGGCAGCACCAGATGCCTGCCCCAGGAGTGCGTTTTGACAGATTTGTGTAGTTTTCACACAACGTTGAATTTTTTTATGATGAAAATTACGTGCCTGTGCACGGGAAAGCTTGTTAAGTAGGTGATGAAGAACCTCCAGTCGCAGAGTTAATGCATAGTGCGGCCCCGTTTCTAAAAACACCTACAGACTCCATTTAAAGACGAGGCTCAGGAGACCCCAGAGAGGATGGGGAGGCTCCCTCCAGCCAGCACTGAGACTGCCTCGTTGCTTCAGCAAAATGAGACTAAAAGCCACACTCAAGATCACCTTTTCCAAGGAGAGAATTTTGTACTCACAAGTTAACTTCAAAGGACATAAGCTAAATATCAAAAGGCTCTCTTTAAAGAGACGCGGATAGCATTTGCCAGCCAACACCCATGCACCCAAACACTACATAATTGCCTTTACACAAAGGATCCAGGCAGGAACCACCATCTGTCTCCATCTAAGGCAGGGCTGACAACTGCACAATCGCATTTTTTTTTTTTAAGATTTTATTTGAGAGGTAGAGTTACAGTGAGAGGAAGAGACAGAGAGAAAGGTCTTCCTTTCTGTTGGTTCACTCCCCAAATGGCCGCAATGGCTGGAGCTGCGCCTATCCAAAGCCGGGAGCCAGGCGCTTCTTCCCAGTCTCCCATTGCGGGTGCAGGGACCCAAGGACTTGGGCCATCTTGTACTGCTTTCCCAGGCCACAGCAGAGAGCTGGATCAGAAGTGGAGCAGCAAGGCGGAGGATTAGCCTAGTGAGCCGCGGTGCCGGCCGCCTTCCCACCTTTTTTCTCCCCCCCTCCTTCTCCCGAACAAGGGACTTGATGCGTTTAAGTATGAAAAATTCCTGAGTTTTCCCCCATGAAGTTATCAGACAGGGAAGCCTGGCTGGCTGGTGTCTCCCCGCCTTAGGGGAAGGATGTTTATCAGGCCAGGTAGCAGGGGCAGGACCCCCTGGAAGGTCATCAGGATCCAGGTGGGACTTTGTAGTGCAGATACTGGGCTGCACCTGGAAGGTTATCTGGTAGAGGGGCTGGACCCCCTGGAAGGTCATCAGGATCCGGGTGGGACTTTGGAGTGCAGATACTGGGCTGCACCTGGAAGGTTATCTGGCAGAAGGGGCAGGACCCCCTGGAAGGTGATCAGGATCCGGGCAGGACTTTGAAGCGCAAGATGCTGGGCTTCTGGAGCTTCCACAGTAGGTGCTGGTCTTCAGCCTTTCTCACACACACATAGGCTCAATTTCTGACATCCTGCCTAATAGAGGTAATGTGTTTGAACAATGTGACTTTAAAAAATACTTTATTTGAAAGGTAGAAAAAGCTTCCAACTGCTGGTTCACTTCCCAGATGGCCACAACAGCAGAGACTGGACCAGGAACCAAGAACTGAATCCATGTGTTCCCAAGTGGATGGCTGGGGCCCAAGTACTCAGGCCATTCTCCACTGCTTTCTGGGTGCATTAGCAGGGAGCTAGCTGGGTTGGAAACAGAATAGCCTGGACTCGCCACAACACTATGCCCCAGTGTGATCGGTTTTTGAAAATGTGTGTCTGTGTGTGCATGTGCAAACTGAACAGGAGGATATACTGGCACTGAATCCTTGCTGGGAGGTTTTCATGTTTACCACTACCACTGCGTTAACATAATTGTATTGTTCCTGCAAACCAACCTGTTGTGCTCACACACCCATCTCGTCCTCCTGTATTTTACGGGATGCTCAGCCACGTGAGCACACTGACCTTGGAGGCATGGGGCTGAGGAGCACAGCCCCTGCTCACGCTGTGGTGGGCTCAGCTCTGAGGGAGAGGAGAGCTAGCTGACCTCCACATACATCAGATCCTGATGCACCTTCCTCACATCCTCCCGCTTGCTAAGCTGGGGCTGTTGGGGGCAGATCCGGGAATATAACTCTCCTGACTCCCCACTGTATCCTTGGCTCGCCAGGTGAGTTGTGGTTTTTTTTAATCTATCAGTTGCAAATGTTTCATCTGCATAAACCAAGATGTTCTCAACACTCAGCAACTAACACAAGGTGGAGAAATGTTTCGTCATTGAGATTGACATTAAGCTCCTGAGACCGACAGAAAACTGCAAATGCCGAAGTTTCTGTCCTAATCCGCGGGCTGCACACAGTTTATTTTGATTATGCATCTGAAAGCAAACTCTGTTAAAAAAGGCACAGAGTGCAGACAGAGCTGCTGCCTGATGGTTCACTCCTTCAAATTCTCATAATGGCTGAAGCTGGACAAGGCCAGAACTGGGATCCGGGACTCCAACCGGGATCTCCCACATGGGTTGCAGGGACCCACCAGTTGAGAATTGCAGTGTCTGCATTAGCAGGAAGCTGGGATAGGGAGCAGAGTCAGACCAGAATCCAGACACTGTCAGATGGGAAACAAGTGTACTTCCCTGTTTTTGACTAACAAAATTTGCTTAATACCTTTATAAATTGGGATTTTGTATAAAATTTTATTTGCAAGAATAATTTGAAAAAAAAAATTTTAATAGCTCCTGGATCAGGTCACACTTAAAAAGCAATATTTCTTACGTTTTATAGACTAAAAATAAATTTCACATTTGCCTATAATTAAGTGGGGCCAGAAAGTTTCCATGGAATTAAGTTTTAGTAATTTTTATTGTGTTTGAAAGGCAGAGAAAGATCTTCCATCCACTGGTTCACTCCCCAAAGGCCTGCAACAGCTGGAGTCGGACCAGGGCAAAGCCAGGAGTTCAGAAATCAATGTGTGTGTCCAACATGGGTGGCAGGAGAGTTCTTGAGCTGTCGTCCCTCGCCTCTCAGAGTGTGCATCAACAGGAAATTGGGTCGGAAGCAGAGAAAATGGAGCTCAGACCAGGCATCTTAACTGCTGTGCCAAATGCCTGCCCATCATTTCTTAAAGATCATTTATTTATGTATTTATTTATCTGACAAGAAGAAATAGAGACAGACAGCTCCTCTCTGCTAATTCACTCCACCACATGCCCACAACAGCCAGGACCAGACCAGGACCAAGCTAAAGGCAGAAGCCAGGAAACCGATTCATTTCTTTGATGTGGGTAGCAAGGACCCACAGACATAAGCCACACCTGCTGTCTCCCACAGTGCCTTTTAGGAGGAAGCTGGAATCAGGAGTGGAGCCAGGGCCCACTCAAGACGCTGCTATGGGATGCTGGAGTCTCCAGCAGTGTCTCTCTCTCTTTTTTTTTTTTACAGGCAGAGTTAGACAGTGAGAGAGAGACAGAAAGGTCTTCCTTCCATTGGTTCAGCCCCCAAGTGGCCACTATGTCCAGCACGTTTCAGCCCAAAGCCAGGAGCCAGGTGCTTCCTCCTGGTCTCCCATGCGGGTGCAGGGCCCAAGCACCTGGGCCATCTTCCACCGCCATTCCGGGCCACAGCAGAGAGCTGGACTGGAAGAGGAGTGACCAGGACAGAATCCGGCGCCCCTGCTGGGACTAGAACCCGGTGTGCTGGCGCCGCAGGCGGAGGATTAGCCTAGTGAGCCGCAGCACCGGCCTCCAGCAGTGTCTTAACTAGCCACCAAGTCAAACACCCTCTCAAATTTTTAACTTTAATGATATTTTTTAACTCTAGGTTTAAAAAAGTGCACAAAGAAAAGCAATGCCCCCCTTTTTTTTTTTTTGCTCTAGAACTTAGCTCTAAAGAGTCCATATAGTGCGGCTGTTGTAATTATTTTATTTAAAAATAAGAATATAGGCGCCAGTGCTATGGCATAGCGGGTAAGGCCGCCGCCTGCAGTGC